AAAAACATCTGCTTAAATTATGTGTTTTTCATAGAAGCTACTATTGGCACCAGGATGATTAAAAGGTTGATCATTTATCTTATCATTTTGATTCTCCATCTCAATCTGATGAACTTCTAAGCAAAGGTTCACATCTTAACATCTTCATCTGGAGGAAATTGATACATTTACCAACACCGTCATTTCAGAGCTTCATCGCCAGTCTGCCTGAAATTAATTTACTTCGGTCACCACATTAAAAAACATGTAATTGTCTTAATTTATCGTTGAATCAGTGGCCTCAATTATCTGAGCAACATTAAAGAAATTTTTTGTCTGAGAACATCAAACTTATCTGAAGAGCCTGCCTGACTTGGAAACCATACAAAACAGAATAACACCACAACAGACAAGAACAGAATGTCCAGCATACAACCTGAACAAATCAGTGATTTGATCATAAATGTGCTGGTTATTGATTTTGCAATGCACTTTGTTTACCAGCTATGCTACAGCTCTACCAAATTACTGTAAAGAATGGGTATCATCATCAGGAGTCCTCAAAGGTATGATTAGTCCTGGCAGGCCCTCTGTGATTCTATTAAAGTTACAAGAACAAAGGTCAGGCTTTGTGTTCTTTGACTTTTTAAGGGTTACAACTGAATCATTTATTGAATATACTAAAATTGATTTTCTCAAAATATACTCAGTCACCCTGTGCTGAAGCAGTCTGCTTCTCTCAACTAGTGCAGCTGCTGCTAAGACTATTGGTATTGAATGCATATAAGTTTAATGTTCTATGTTTTACATTTGTAAAAGAATACATCAGAAATAAACTATGGAATTCAGAATTTATACGAAAGAAATGGAAGACTTGTCTGACAAGTAAACCAGAATCCAGGGGCTCAATTTTAATTTAAAAAAAAGGAAAAAAAGAAAATCGCAATATATGAAAGGAAACAACAGGAGCAGAGTACCTCTTTCAATAAAACCCTTCGGCCATGAGGCAGTGAATAATGTAGTCAGTGAATAATTCATTGTGAAGGTCTAATGATAAGAACAACTTGCCCTCAGAGCAGTGTCTAAACATCTGCAGGGAACCAGAGAAGCAGATACTGAAAGGATGACACTTTCTGCATTTCAAGTCCAATGTATTCCCAGCCAGGAGTAAAAAATGGTGTCAAAACAGACCATCTTTAATGAGGGAACATTAAAGAAGTTTCCCGGTCTTTACTCCAAACATCGTAATCTTTTTCAGATCGTGGAGCTGCATTGTCTCCATCGTGACATTTGCCATGCCATGCATTCTCTTTTTTTGCAACTTTGACTTGTCCAGAGCAGTGTTCAAATAGCCAGTAAATTTCCCAGCGTCCATGTGAACACCACGACATAGACTTTCCCAACTGAGCATTGCCATAAAACCAATCAAGTTGAGCTTTCAATTATTGTTTATATATTTTAGATATAGTGTGCATGCCACATTTGGAAGTTTCTAATTACATTTCCACTTGTAAGGGTGTAGCACATAGTTGTACAGAGAATCTAATTAAAAATATCTACAGCCCATTTGAACAAACCAATGAATCATTCCGTCTAATCACCATTTAATTAAGGATATCTTTAATTTAAAAAATGACTGAATATTAAATAAAATTATTTCTATAAAGGGGTGCCTGCTTTCACGTGGCAGAGATTAATTCATATTCAGTATTCAGTCATCTCTCAATTGTCCATTTTTATAGGAAGGAAAAATTGTCTGTTACCGGTAATCAATTGAAAGCTGTATCAATACAAAAAGGTGCAATGTCTAAAAGGAATCTTTCCACTCTAAATTAATAACTCTTATGGAGTATAGGATTTTCTGTCTGAAAAAGACTGGACTACAATGTATAGCCTGAGTCATGATTCTGGCTGTTTTCAACATAATTATGATTAATTACTTTTACAGGTGTCTGAAACATAATTAAGCCCAAGTTGAGTTGAGACCACACTATGTGGCTTAAACCTACTGAGAGTAAAGCAACTTGGTAAACAAGAAAAGACACCTTAAATCATTTTAAGCTCTAATTAATTTTGGGCTTGTTAGCAAAATGCTCACACATCTAGTTTTGAATTTTAAAAACACATCTAAGCTGAGAATTATGGTCAATAATTAGCGATTTACAGGTCAAGCTTTCTTCTAAAGGTTATGACAGGAAGCCTTTTAGACCAACAAGGACCTAATTAAAGTAGCAACACCAGAACATGTAGCCCTCTTTCTCCTGTGACTCTCAAACGATTTAAGAATCTAATTACATGACAATAAATTATTTTCTCACAGAGGGTTGGAGAGCCACAGAGTGTTGGTTTATTTATAGAGGCACAACTTTTTGATATTTACTTGCACTGCTACCCGTCTCAATAGATCAATACAGTAATGAAACTCCTTGGTGAGAGGGCTCACCACAACAAAGCTTTCCCTTTTATTTCATCCTCATACACTTCATAACAAAGTTGCCAACATAAGTCAGCCATGACAGTCTCTTCAATTACATGACAGTGGGGAAGAAAGGAGCGTGATGGATCGGTGTCAAAGCTCTGGGGAGCCGTATAAACCCGACAACAAGCAGAGGCTGCCCATCTGTCAACAATCTCAATTAACCGCTGTAAAGATAGAGGCGTGCTGCCATTTTATGCAGCTCTTTGAAAAAAAAGAAAAAAGAAAAAGGAACAGGACTTCCTATCAAAGCGACGGAGGGATTTCATTTTTACAACGAGAAAACTGTATTTAGATGAGCTGGATGGGCCCATCTGTCAGCAGGAGGGTGGGGGGGGTCAAATTGAAATCTGACATTTAGTGCCTCAAAGCTTTCTCTCACTGGCTCTGATATGAACTACAGCATGTGACAAATCGTATCTGGCTTGTCCCTGGGTGAAGCGTCTGATAATGTTTTGAGTAGAAATAGGCACCCTTGGCATTTCACAAAAAGGTCATGTTTTGTGTTCGTTTTAACATGCAGCCAGCTGAGGGAATTGAGGATTTTCCTCACAAAGTGGGTCTGCACCAATGTACAAATTCTGTTCTTTATTCTTTTTTTTTTTTACTCCACTCTATTTTTTAACACTCTGGGTTGCACATAGCAAAGACAGATCACCAAGAGGAAAATCACATCACAGAACGTTTCCCCGACATATGTTGCCGCTTCAAATATCACCCCCACTTCTTCTAAGTAACAACTCCTTTGTAACTCTCCACAAACTCTGACACAGCTTATCTTAAAATCAACAGAATGAAGCCTTAATTTTCAACAAAAAAGCAAAGTACAATAAAAACTGCACAAAATTCATCTTTCTCTCTGCGTGGGACGATCTCTGACAACTTCACAAATGGATTAATTTGGTTATGTGGTAGGGTTTCCATTTACCTTAGAATTTACAAACCTATCAGTAATTCATTAAACATCAGCAACATGAATTCTTTTTTATGCATCCACGGCAATTAAACAGAGGCGGCACTGGCTTGTGTGTTATTCTTTATAGTCTGTGTGGCATTTTTATCATCCAGACTCCTCAGGAAACATCTGGGTAAATTGGGCTATTTTCTGTCAATTGGGATGGCTGCTGGGAAACAAAAATAGATATCCAGGGGTGTCTTCCGAGATTCCTCAGTCATGTTTGGGAAACATTTGAAAAAGTGGTTTTGTTTTGGAACATGGTAATAATTCACTATATTAAGAAATAACAGAGCATTGGGGATTGTGTTTTATTCCTGTTTCCCAAAAAGAAAAAGGCTGAATTATCAAGCATTTAAGAGAATCCATGGATGTTGTAAATATCACTCAAGCAGGTTTATTGGTGTTACATTAGGAAATAGGTCTTGATATTTGTTTTTTGTGGGATTAAGTGTTGGTTTACAGGATAAATTATTATCTTTTTTTTTTATTCCAGAAATTCGAGTTGAGGAGTCTTTGTTGCTTCACCACTTCTTCGGCAAAAAAATTTGGGAAGAGTGTAACCCTTAGTGGTCAGTTTCCCTAACTGACCATGTGTGTCAGAATGTGTCACAACATCTGGGTTTGTAGCACTCACCTATTTTGAAGACAGTCAAGAGACTTCTGAAGCTCATGTACTTCTGCAGTGGTTGAGCGTTCCGTGTTGGTGCATGCTATGGTGGGGTTGGATATGGGGACATAATTGATGCACATGCTAGATGTATCCATTTGCCTGTAAATTACTCAAGTTGGAGCTGTTGCTGTCGGCGAGGATGTGAGCAGCCATTCAGGGGCTGTTTCCCACAGGAACATGAGGTCAAATTGTAGGTGGGGTTCATTTTCAGCCTTATTTACTGTCATGGAGTCTGACTTGAAATTTGCACGCTTGAAATCTGACATTAAACACACTTTTGCTTACGTAAGAAATTCCACAAGGTTTCACTGCTTTGATACATTTGATTTGATATATTTTCATTTTGTTCAGGTGACATAAATTCCAACTGGAAGCAACATCCCAATAGACCTTGTAATAAGGATATTATTTATCAATAACTCCCAACACATAAAATCAAGTCTGGATTTTTTAAGGGGAAGCTAAGTAAATCGGATCTTAAATTGATCAAGTTAACACTAGAAAATTAACATTTAAACACAAAATGCGAAGTGGTTCCTCATTCAAAGAACTATGTTTTTAAGTTTGTAAATCTTTAAGAATTTGTGTTCATTTTCTATTTGTGCAGGCTGCTGTGGAGACATGATGGATTAGAGACTTCCAGTTTGTAAAACTGTGACTTAATCTAATCTTACACAAAAGTAAGTGACTAAACCAAATATCTGAATAGCTGTACGAGTGATGCTCCTGTTTTCAGAGAAGTCACGACACGTGTCACGAGCCGTCGCCTTCTCACCGGTCGGTTCTTCTACCTGACAATAAGCCTTCCTTGTTTTCGGCAAAGATATTTGGACGAAACCCAATTGGCTGCCTACAGACGCATTTGTATTCTATTGGCTCAGATCTGTGTCAACCATCCAGGAGAGGCGGAGTCAGGCTTTCGGCACGAGGAAATTGGTGTCGGAAATAAACACATTAGCTTTCTGTTGCAGTCTGAACGAAAAATCGCTAAGTTGTACATGAAAATGTCCAGAGGTGCGTTTCTGCTCGCCGTCGCCTGTTTAATGAGTCCCACGGGGGAAGGGCTGGACAATGGCCTGGCGCTAAAACCCACTATGGGCTGGCTGCACTGGGAAAGGTTTATGTGTAATACCGACTGTGACACACAACCCGACAACTGCATCAGGTAAGGGTACCAACAGGGAGCTGTCCAAGCAATTAAGACCCAACAGTCCTTCAAAAAAACACTTGTTATTTTAAAGCATATTCAATTCGTTTGGATCTACCACACTTAATTTTCAGTCCAGTGAATCTACCGAAAAATATATCTACATTTCTACACGAAGAGGGTTGATCGAGCCTTTCAAATATAACAAGGAAACAAAGGAAGTTACGGCACAGGAAATCAGTCCCAGTCCATGTAAATCAGCTAAGGCCTGGAGAAAAAAGTGGTTTCTGTGACTAAAGTCGTTAATGAAATTAACCGATGAGGATATATAGCAGCAAACGGATTACAAAGGTCTTAATTCATTAGACAAATGTCTTGACCTATAGAGCTTGGCCTCTGTGGGATGCACTTTTTAAAAACCCCTCTCATCTAACAAACCTGTTGTCAATCTACCTAATTAACTGGAAGTCTTCCACATGTGTTTTAAACATGCAGAAACCACATTTTCCAGATTTTTCTTACTCTTGCATCAGTGTTACTGGAATAAGACCAGCATCATGTGTAATGGAATTCATGTAACAGTGCTACAAAGGAGTGATAATGGGATGCAATTATTTTCAGCATTAATCAACCCAATTTCTTCCCGTCAGTTATTGTTTTGGTCTAACAAAAAGTCTTTGTGATCTCTTGGAAGTCATATCTTTATTTGGATGTTTCTCATGATTCATTTAATATCTTATAAAGTGTATGTATCTATTTGCTTTTATTAAACCGTGATTGCAGACAGTTTGTTTTAAACATTGCACATTTCTTTTCTGACCAATAAACTCTCTAATTGTGCAACAAAATGTTTCTTGGGCAGCTCTCTTTGATCTTGCCCTTTATTTTTACGAGCATGCTCATATTTGTGTCTGACATGCTGTGGTAGCAAATAACACTGATGGCTGAAATTTAACTGACTGCCCTGACTGGCTGTCCATGTTTCCCTGGCAGCGAGCGGCTTTACATGCAGATGGCAGACGTAATGGTGAAGGAGGGCTGGAAAGACGCTGGTTACGAATACGTCTGCATCGATGATTGTTGGCCCTCCCGCCAGCGTGATGCTCAGGGCCGCCTGCAGGCAGATCCCAAAAGATTCCCGGGAGGCATTAAGAAGCTGGCCGACTATGTGAGTAGGATGTATAGAACAGAGATGAGGAGTCTGCGTGTGAAAAAGCCAGGAGGATTAACGCTATAAGTCCAACGCAGACATCAAAGAGAATGGGGTTCAGAGGCACTTCAGAAAAGTGAGAAATACTTTATATTCCGTTATTTCACCAGCTGCAAGGCGCCAATTGAAGATATGATAGGATGTGAGTGCTTATGTTCTACTTTTCACTTTTTGGTATGCTGCATGAGTAATAATATGAGTTCTATCATTTATAAGATATATTTCCATGTGATTTATATCACATTGTGTGCTGCAGTTTAGCAAAGTTAGCAGATGTTAAAAAGTTCAGGAAGCCATTGTTAAATAAGTCTGGAAGCAAAAGCGACGGCATAGTCAGACTGAATATTCATCCAAGGCGACCTGCAGTTATTTACATAATGAGAGAGTAAGAGCCCAAGTCACAGCTTTTATTTGGGTGGAAGTGGAGCGCCTGGTGGAAAAGGAGATACACAGGGCCTCAGTAGGTGTTTCCTGTTGTTCACAGTGGAGAGTGTAAGACATCACGACAGGCCCATCTCCAACCCACAGTTCACACTGCATAGCAACACAGGAAGCCTAAAAGTGATGCTCATCAGTGAACGGTCTATTTAGGAACACTGTGAGGGGGCATCCTCTGAAGGATTTTAGCTGTGAAACATCGCCATCTGCTGGTTTAAACAAATTACAGAAAGTAACGGCAGTCAATGCTTGAAGTCTGAATTGAGGTGCATTTTCTGCTTTTAGGTCCACTCTAAAGGTCTGAAACTGGGTATTTATGCAGATGTGGGAAAAAATACCTGTGCTGGGTACCCTGGCAGCCTGGGTCACTATGAGACTGATGCTCAGACCTTTGCTGACTGGGGTGTGGATCTACTTAAATTTGACGGCTGCTTTATGGACTGGAAGTTGCTTGGAGACGGTAGGAGTTTCATTCAGATTCTAACATACTTGATGAGCAAGGACGTGTGTGTATGAAATGTATATTTAATTAGTGCATTTGTTCTGGATAAGGATACACAAACATGTCAAAAGCTCTGAACAAAACTGGAAGAAGCATCCTGTACTCCTGTGAATGGCCTTTGTACGAGTGGCCTTTCCAGAAGGTGAGAGATCAGTTCACGTTGCACAGCATTAGCAATCTGATCTATGACTTCAAAAATGCATTAGCTGGGTGACCATTAAGTGAACATCTTTGTGCCTCCAGCCAAACTACACAGCTATTCGTGAAACCTGCAATCACTGGCGCAACTTTGATGACGTGTTCGACTCATGGAGCTCCATCAAGTCCATCTTGGATTGGACTGCTTCTCATCAGGACACAATCGTTCCCTCAGCCGGACCTGGGGGCTGGAATGACCCTGATATGGTTAGTTGCTCTACTCCATTTCATGTCTGTATCTGGCCTTTAACTATGGACAGTACCAGCAGCTCTTAAGCTTAGATAACATTTAATTTTAAAGGCAATTAAAACCTGATTTCCAGGGATAAGTAATAGTTTGATGTTCTGGAAAAATAAAAATTTCTTTCCACGATACAAGCAGCTGGTTGACAGGAATAGAAGTTTATTTCTGCATTTCATTAACTTAATAAACCCAACTCTTTATTTACATACTTACATTTCCCCAGCTTGTAATTGGGAACTTTGGCCTGAGTCACGCCCAGCAGGAGTCTCAGATGGCCTTATGGGCCATAATGGCAGCACCGCTGCTCATGTCTAATGACCTGCGGGACATTTGTCCTCGATCCAAGAAGTTGCTGCAGAACAAGCTCATCATCGACATCAGCCAGGACCCGCTGGGCAAGCAGGGACACCTCTCTGCCAAGGTGGGTACAACGAGCAACACACGGGACTCCATCTGTAAAGGGCATCCCTCCTAAAAATCCTGAATGCTTATGTTTTAACAGTTGGACAGTTTTGAGGTGTGGGAGAGGCCTCTGTCTAAGAGGCGCCTGGCTGTCGCCGTGCTCAACAAGCAGGAGATCGGTGGGCCACGAATTTTTTCTATCAGATTTGTCCCTGGCTGGAAGATCTGCGACCCACAGTGTAACGTCACCCAGATCTTGCCTCAGTACAAGGAAATGGGTGTTCAGACTCTGCAGAGCAAAGTTCTCCTGTACATCGACCCCTCAGGCACCGCCCTGCTGACTGTGACTCCTCTAAGCAGCCCCCTGAAGAACCCCCACAAGCTTTACTGGAAGCATGCCGTTTAGTCCCGTATCTACACTTCTGTAAACTGAAATTCTTATGATTAAAAATAGGGCTTTTTTGCAGGGCCTGCTCTAATACGGTGATGTTTATTGTACATTTATCAGATTTTCAAACCTTTCATGAAACTCATGAGCTTTCTCACTGTCTGAAGGATTACCTGTCAAATACAGTTCTGACCAACATATTTAATAAAAATGGCTTTTAAGAAAAGCGACAACGAAACATATTTTGACACATTTATTGAAAATAGTGACAGCTTCATCCAAAAGACTGGACCATTTAGAACTGGATGACCTGGCCCTGGAAAAAAAACACAAACACACATTGGATTAAAATATGGACTCCATCGTTAGTGTTGAGATATGGCTTCTTGTCCAAATACTGACACTTCTAACTTCTGAGATGATAAATAAACACTCAGTCTACATGGTGGTGGTTTCGACCGCTGCTATAAACGATTTTACATGGACTCATCTTATAACATCCCTGTGTAACATTAAGCTCTATGAACAATCAATGTAGAGCAGTGTTTCCAAAACAAGGCCCTTAATGCACATTGGCTTCCCCCCCCCAATTTTCCTTCACCACTCCTGATTCACATGAATAGGACAACATTTTATCTCTTTAGCTCTGCAAAAGGCTGATAAGGATTGGCAAACACTTGGATAGATTAAACTTCCACCATGTGACCACAAGGGCAAGAAGCCTGTCATGAGTGCTGAAATGTTTGATGTTAAATGTACATCTTTGTAATGTAGCAGAGCTGAAAAATTCTGAGATTCAACTTATCAAGAGGTTAATAAGATACGGTATGAGTGTTTAATGATTTTCTAAAATCAAATTGTGCTAATGTTCATAAAATCTGAGGCATGTTAATGACTCATCTGAGGGAACAGTTTGAGCAACTGAAACAAAAAAAAAGACACGATCAGTGTCACAGTCCAATTCAAATGTTTGACTTTTCATGAGCGTTTCTTATCCAGGGTGTGCTTGTGTGGGAACTGACTAAGAAACCAGTAACTCCTGGAAGTTCCGAAGACAGCTGAATTAAAATTAATCTAAACGAAGGGCTGTAAGAAATTTTATTTAAACCAACAGCTAATCTTGAAAAAAAGCCTGAGATGACCTGATCCTAAAAAGTTAAGGAGCATCAATAACCAAGATACTTTATCAGATAAAGTGCACCCTCTAAAGACCCCATAATGTAGACACCCTTACCTTTCTCTTCTTGTCACCACCCAACTCGAAGTGCTTGCATCTCTTGATGGCCAGCATTCTCTTGGATCTGCAGTTGGGCTCCACACATTCAAGCCTCAACACAATTTTCTTTGTAGTCTTAGCCTGTAAACAATACTTCAGTTAACTCCATCTCACACACACGTGGTAATGAATCAGGCTGCTCTGAAGTACGGAGTATTACCTTTTTACGGAAAATTGGCTTTGTTTGACCACCGTAACCGCTCTGCTTTCTGTCATATCTCCTCTTACCTGGAAGACAGATACAGTTAGACCACAATCTCTTTTAATTGTCACATGTGATTTGCTTGAACATGGCTTACCCTGGGCATAGAGGGAATCCTTTCCCTTCTTGTACTGGGTAACTTTGTGGGGTTGGTGCTTCTTGCACTTCTTGCAGTAAGTCCTGCGGGTCTTCGGGACGTTCACCTGTACAAAAACAGAAGAAAATGTGATGGCAAATAGATTAGAGACATCCCAACTTCTAGGACTCTAAATACAGGGGGAAATACAAGTAAAAAAAATGGACAAACTGGCAGAGCTCATTTGTGATGATCAGATTATTGTATGGCACCACTGTGCCAAAGATGACATATCAACAAGCACCTACAAAAACATATTTACGGGCCCAAAGCCGTGTTAATAGTCCGAAGTGATAGCATTGTGAGCTGGATGTTAGCTTATTTGCTGTAAGCTAATGTGTTAGCATCGTTGCACCTTAACGTTATCATGGTGAAAACGCTGCTTCAGTTTTATGAAAACCGGACTAAATTGTTAATACTATCAGGGCTTTTAACTGTGATTAAACTGCATCATGGACGGACAAGAACTGACACGAGCCTGAACGCCACCAAATGCGGCTTTTGCCACTAACATAGTACCCACCACCGTATTAATCTAACTCTATAAAACGCACTCAACACGCCGAATACTCCCATTATTAGATTTACAGAAGCTTTATTGTCCAATTCCAGTTGAAAGGGTGCAGATATTGCATTTCAAGTGCCCAGATTGAAACAGATTTTTAAAATTGTAGTCGTGTAATCATTTCATACCATGGCCGCGACCCGATGCAGAGGGAAAGAGGAAGACTGAGGCCGGAAACGGTCCTTGAAGAGGACTTCGGGGACTCGCATGCTCTGCCCCCTAGCGGTGGGATATGAAAGGGTGAAACAACAGACTAGATAAAATAAAAAAATCCGCAGCTGAAAAGTATTTACCTTCAGCATGAGCACAGTTTTACTTCTAAGCTACCTTACTAATTTCAATATTTGAGTAGATCTACCAGTTAGATAAAGCTGTTATGCAACCGATATTTTAGTAGAAATATCACCAATGGGGGCCCACTTTCTATCAGATGTTTCTGACATTGTTAACAATTTAGAATTTCTATATGTGTCAATGCTTCGTCCCCCTCTCTATAATTCATTTTCTACATTTACCTTGTTCTGTTCAGAGGGCTGGAGGCGGGGAAGACAGGTGGCCAGCCGACAGGGTAAACTCTGACACAGTCACCCCGTGGTAATTTTGGTCTGTGACCGTACACAATTAAATGCTTGCTCGTGCAAAATATGCCATTTAAAAAAAAAAAAACCCAGGTTAACCTCTCTCCTCTGAAGCTATGCTTGTAACCACCATTTGTGCCTTAAACTTGATTAAATACTCAATTCATCACATACCTTCGATTAGAGAAACCATGTCTATAGCTCTACAACAGTTTTGCCTTATCAGAACCCTTAGTTGTTCCTCTTATTTTTTTCCCTATAATCAATAATATTTCTGGTTTATCTGGAGTCCCTCTATTTTTGTAATGCAGTTCAAACAAACTGGTTCTATGCCTGAAACAGAAACCTACTCTTCGTTCTCATGTTTAGACTGCTGAACCATGTCGCATAAGCAGATCATCAGCATACATCTACAGAGATACTCATGCTATCATTTTGAAGTTTATATCTCTTCCTCTTACAGTAGTCAAATTGGCAGTGGACAGGATGAAATCCCCTAAACCAGAGGTGTGACAACGTAACTGCGTGCTGTATCCAAACATGGTCCTGTGAGCAATGTTTAACCTGCTCCCATTTATCACGAAAACTGTCCAGAGATATGAAAATGAGCAGGAAGAAAAAGGGGAAGTAAGCAGAGTCGATTCCTCTCTGTGGGTGTGTTTTAACTTCTTGCATCACAGACCAACACAGACTTTATGGAAAGCGAGCTACTGAGGCAAAGGTTTGTGGCACAGCTTCAGGCCTCAGCATCTGCAGCTGTTCATCTCATGCGTTACTGCTTTTGGGGGCCTGGGTAAGTGACAACACCCTTTGAATGCTTGCTGAAGCCCAATATATCTTGCTGGTCACTCTTTGTTTGCAGGGGTTAACATTTACAGAAGTAAGAAGTTATGCTATTACAGCACATTTCATCCGTGAGCATGAGAACAAAAATAGAAATTAATCTTAAATTTTATTTACCTAAAAGCTGACAATAATCCAAAGCAAGTGCATGATCAAAAGTTATATCTTTAGAACTTTATCTGTGTTTTGAAATTTTTGTGACTTCTTGGTGTTTACTGATAAACTGTTGCGTGTAGATAAAACCATACTAAAGTCGTACAACCAGAATATGATCACCAGAGACTAATTCCATGGTTTACAAACGTTATTTACAAGTCTTATTACAAATTCATTATGTATAAACCCGTATGGTCTTTTAGGACTTTTGAGAAACCATTTTTAAGTTGGAATAACATCGTTACTTGGATCTGTTTTTTCTTACTGTTATTCTACAGATGCATGAAAATTCACACACACTTTTTAGTGCACACACCACTTATCTGTCAGGAAACATCAGGAAAGAGAGCATCTTCATAAGTTCCTGTTTGACACAGAATTTCATGCCATGGTTATGTTTGCTGTGTCATACAGAGCAACACCCTAATGTATGAAATTTGTAATTTGCCAGTAAATTAATTAACAGAGGGTTTTTTTCTGTATAGTTCATTCAAGTGCTGTCTAACAGTCTTTTGTCTGGTCTCTGATTAGCATGTCAGAGTAACAGGCCCTGAAAGTGAGAATAACATCTCCCTTCAGTGTAGTACAGAAATAGAGTGAGCACACAGTGTTGTGTCACCTTTATGGAAATAAGCATATCAAATGTTAAAGATAGTTGCTTCAAACAGATCGTATCAGGTAAAAGTACTGCAGAACACTGTAGTTTTTTCTCCCTTCACAGTGCAGTGCAACACTGTTGCAACTTCCCCAAGAGTTTGTCTGTGTCAGCCACGGTTAGTCAACCCCGTCAGAAAAGACAAAAAAAGGATCAAAACTGTCTTTACATTGAGTTAAACAATGCAAGGTTAAGGCTCCATATTGTCTGGACCAAAGACGTCAGTATGTTGATTCTCAGACTTAACAAGGTGATGAGGTGAAAAGCAAGAAAGGCGGCAAATGAGGAATGAGTAAACAATGTTTTACAGAATAAGGAACATTGCTGTCTGGTTGGGGCAGCACAGACAAAGCTAACAGGTATTGTCACTCTACTGTGAAGAAATGTTTCACTCTTGGTTAGCAGGCAGTGGCAGAAGTTTCTGGTAGTATTCTAGTTACAGTTAAGATGATAGAAGGAAGTGCTCACTGGCCGAAAATAGGCCTCGCTATAATGCGCAAACATCTGACAGAGACTGTCGGGCAACGAGCGCTCAGCTGGGTGACCGTAAGTCTCAGAGAATGACAGATAAGATTTGAGCTCACACCACCACTGTGACATATGAATGTTAAGTTTAAGGTTAAGATAGTTTAGCTACAGAGCAATGGTGGGAAAAGACTAGTGAGTCATGCTTTTAGCCAGATCTGGTCAGCTGCGGTCAGACTTTTAGTTCTGCATTGGTTACAACTAAAACCTTCGACTTTATAACTGTTCTATTTATCCCTATAAAACTGGGATGACTGATGCAATGGTGTATAACTGTATTTGTGTATAGATCTCTTCCTCTATTGTAATCTTAGAATAAATCAGTAATTTTGGAAAGAATGTCACATGCTCTTCTGCAAAATTCCTTGTTAATATGTAAATATCTGAACCCAAGAGTTTTTATAAAGTCTAAACTGACACTTTCTGTTCTAGAAATTCATCAGTTTTAGACCTTTCGTTTTTTGAAGGTGCAACTTTCAATTTTGCATCAGTGGTTCGGAAAGTGCTACATTCCGTCTTCTTATCACACAGTGCCGGTTGTGAATAAATGTATATAAAAAAATTATAAAAAAACAAATCTACCCAAAACAAGGCTATGAATCAGAAAGTTCTCATCAAACAGTAACAATGTTTGCTCCTGAAGATCTAAAACTTTCAGACTTCTTTTCTTGTCCAGGTATCTTAAATCAACTAATTTGTTTTCAATGCATATAAATCAGTTAAATGTAGCTGTTGTTTGTGCAAAGCAGATGAAGTTAAGTCTACACAGGAATCTTTGCTACTTTGCTGGATACTAAATGTATATTACAACATAAGTTAAAATCATTATGAGCAAAGTTTACAATCACGAAGAATACTAATGAGACTAAATCTGGCCCAAAAACAAGGAAAAACATTCACTGTAACATTTCACAAGTAAGTTGTGCTCTTCTATCTCAACTTATTTCTATGAATAAAAAAAGCCAAGTTATAATTCGAATACTCCCAAATACCAGCCATTTGGGGCTGTTTTATCAGAATTCTGCCAAATTATAGTCAGATTCTTTACGTCTTTGCATAGCATCTTCATACAAAAGCAAACGGTACAATTAGGTCACAGCTGAGGAAAACGCGGATATGTCAGTAACAGAGGATGTTTCTGGCATTAGAAGCAGAGTTTATGCAAACCACAGCTAATCATTTGCTGATATGCGCTCATACTGCTCATCTGTCCATATGTTTCCAGATCTAAACTCCCGCCGGGTAAAGTGGCACTGCTCTGACTCTATGAAAAGTGGGTACGTAACAAATTAAGAATCTTTTAAACAAGGAATGTAAATGCTGATTTATTAGGGCGAAGTGTAACAGGCCCAAATACTGCTTTGAAAGTAAAGTGATAATGGGTGAAACTGTTTGTCCGCTCAACAAAATTATTTCTACAAAGTGTGAACACGACAATCACACCTTCTGCTACTGAGAGGCTAAGTGTCAAGCTGCTTGGCTGCACTTTACAAATGTTTTCATTCCCTACACTTTCCAGTGTAGATCAGTCCAGACTGAATCATGTCAGACAGTATTCTGGAGGATATCTTCCTGAAGCGATCTCAGCAGAAGAAGAAAACATCCCCTCTTAACTACAAGGAACGATGGTTTGTTCTCACCGAGGAAAAAATAGCCTACTATGATTATGATGCTGACAAAGCGGTGAGTATGCATGTGCGACAGCGGGTGGTGTGCAAGCAGCATTTTTTTCACAATGAAAGTTCTTACATGATTCTAAACATGACAGATTTGCCTCACTGTTTCTCTTTGTTGAGCAGAAGCGAAAAGGTTTGAGAGGGTCTGTTGATATCGAGAAGATCAAATGCGTGGAAACAGTTCAGCCGGAGCCCAATGCCCCACAGGAGCGCAAATTTGCATTCCAGGTGGCTATTGCTCTCAGTTATTTTCTTCTGACAAAGGAGAACTTCATGGAAACTGCCGAATGATGATTTCTAAATTAGAAAAGCTGCGCAAAATAATGTGAATGGTTTCATTTAGTTTCTCATTTGTCTCAAGTTGGAGCTAGAACAATATTTGCTTTTGAGTTTCCTTTAATGTATTCAGCGATATGCAGTATTAGGTAGAGTTGTTACCATGTTCCCATGTTAGCAGCAAAGAAATGTGTCCAAACCTTTGATGGTTAGTGTTCTGAAAGTCTATTGTTCAGAAGTGAAACCATCTCGAATGAACCAGGACAGATGTGGGTATTGTCATAGGTCATAAGTAATATTTTGGGGGAATGCAGAATACCACTTTGTGGAGTTAATTTCCTCTCATTTATGCAGTTGATTAGGTCTATTAGGGTGTTTTCTAACTTTAAAATCCCCTAATTGTGGTGGGAATATGCTGCAGATTGTTTACGATGAAGGGCCGCTGTACATTTTTGCAAAGACTGAAGATGTTCGAGCTCTGTGGATAAAGAAACTTAAACAATGTAAGTACACAATTACACAGGCTGATTCTTGTTTACGTGTCCCGTCTGTGAGAATAATTCAGAGTCTTTGATATCCATATCTGAACATCTGCCAGCTTGCACAACATCCTGCATCCCTATGCAAAGGAAATGTTGATTTAATGTAAATGATGTGTGCCTGTGTGTCCACTCTTGTGCACAGTGGTGCGCTACAACAAAGACGTGATGCAGAAGTACCATCCGTGTTTCTGGGTTGATGGGATGTGGCTGTGCTGCAAGCAGGAAGTTAAACTAGCCATGGGCTGCACAGTACTGGATACAAAGAACGGTAGGACCGACCATCCTTTCAATTTGATGTAGAAACCAATTAACTATCAATGAATAAATATATACAATTGCTGACGTCATCATTAGGTTTTAAAACTGCAGGATCGAATCGAAGGTTATCAAGAAAACCGCTTCCACCAACCCCTACAGAGGTATGCACACCATCCTGTTAAACCAATGTATTTATTCTTCATATCCCCAAAACCGCTTTCATTTTTTCCTATTCAGGAAAAGCTAGATCGCCCTTTGCCAGCACAACCTCTTGAACAGCCTGCTCCCTCAGCTAGCATGACAGTCATAGCTGAGTATGATTACACACCTATGACACCGCAGGACCTAGAACTGAGGAAAGATGAAGAGTACACCATCCTGGAGAAGTCTGATGTGAACTGGTGGAAAGCCCGAGACAAATATGGGTGAGATGATGCAAAAGCTTGGTGACCAAAGAAAACCGAAATCAGACCTAATAAAGGCTTCCAAGTTAAATATAGTTAGTTAAACACATTCAGTACATAAAACAGTTTTTAGAACCGTATAGGACCATATGACCTCCTTTTCACTATTCATTATAAGATATGACATGATTTGAATTTGATTGTATCTGATCATCCTAAAATATCTGCCTTGACTAGGTTTCAAAATAGGTCTTTAGGTTAAAAAAGTCATAATCTGTTGATGAGAAGCTGGGTGCTTCAGACTAAGAGCCTACTGTCTCGTTATTTTGGGGATCTGCAAATGATCAAATATCTCCTATGTTTCATGTTCTGTTGCAGAAAGGAGGGTTACATACCAAGTAATTATGTTGTGGAAGCAGAAAACGGGCTTGAAAGATTTGAGTGAGTATGAGCCTGAAATGATGTAATCAGTAAATGTAAATTTCATATTTGTTTCGACTAAATGAATTTATTATTTCTGGATACTGATGTATAGTTAACGTTTCTATTAACAAATTGTGCCAAACAGCAAAGAAATTCTGATTCTATTTTTTTTCTAGCTGGTATTGCAAGAACATGAACCGTAGCCAAGCAGAACAGCTGCTGAAGTCTGAGGTAAATGAGGTCGACATTTTTGTAGATCTACAAATATTGTGTGTGTAAGGTTATGAAGCTCGTATGTTGTTTTTACCATCAGAACAAAGATGGAGGTTTCTTAGTACGAGACTCAAGCAAGGCCGGGAAATACACAGTCTCCTTGTTCACCAAGGGTGGTGGGTGAGTTCAACACTGCTTCCATTTATACAGTTAATTCACTGGCCTCAGTCATGTGTGAACGTATGAAAAGAAGAACTGTGTGTAATGAAAGCGGAAACTGCAGGCCACAGAGGGAGAGAGATGTAAATTATTCATGCAAAAACCTGGACTAATGTATCTACAGAAGTTTTTTCATCCACGACTGAATCACACTCTGGATAAGACTTAAAAGATATTACCTAAATCCGTGTTTAAGATAAATGGCTGATTTTCTTGTTGATTCATTGTCCAGATTGGCGTCTCTCGTTTTTCTCCACAGGGAAATAAGCGGAAGCTGCAGACATTATAACATCTGCACAACTTCTCAGGGACAGTTTTACTTGGCAGAGAAGCACAATTTCAGCACTATCCCAGAGCTCATCAACTATCACCAACACAACGCAGCAGGTCCGTACCTCATCCATAAATATATGGAGACACCACATAGGATGAAAAGGGCAATATCAATAAAATCGAATTCAAAATTAATTTTCATGTTCCAAAAACTGTACTGTAAAAGCAGCAAAAATGGGCCTGCATGATTTCCTAACCACCTTGCTTGGCTTTGTTTTCCCCATCGCCAGGTATGGTTAGCAGGCTGAAATACATTGTATCTAACAGGGCAAGGCCTCCTTCAACTGCAGGGCTTGGCTATGGTAAGAGTTAACTTACACCCGATTTCTGATATGTTGTGTAAGAGGTTACGCTGTATGGTGTAGAGCTATATTTTTGTGTGTGACTTGGTTCATAAGAGTTGTGTCAGTCTTCCTAACTAAAAACAGAAAAATGCCAGCGTAGAGGTGCTCTCTGATTCTGTGTTGTTTGATTCAGGTGTGTGGGAGATAGACCCTCGCTGCCTCACATTCATTAAGGAGCTGGGCAACGGTCAGTTTGGAGTGGTGAAGTATGGGAAGTGGCAGGGTCAGCATGATGTGGCCATCAAAATGATCAAAGAGGGCTCCATGTCAGAGGATGATTTCATCGAAGAAGCAAAAATCATGATGTAAGCACCACTTAACTCAAACTAAAAATCTACTTTAAATGTGTCATGCAGGGGGAGTAGTTACCGTGAACTCTTTCAGGAAAACCAGCTAAGTTTCCTCATTTTTGTCTGAGCAGGAAGCTTCGCCATGAGAACCTGGTGCAGCTGTACGGCGTCTGCACCAAACAACGACCGATTTATATCGTGACGGAGTTCCTTGCCAACGGGTGTCTGCTGACGTACCTGAAGGAGGGCCTCACGCAGCACCCGACGAACGTCCAGCTGCTTGAGATGTGTAAAGATGTCTCTGAGGGCATGGCCTACCTTGAGTCGCAACAGTACATTCACAGAGACCTGGTGAGACGCAAAGATCAGTGTGAAGGTTGTTTTGTTTTTTCAAAAAACCCACTGCATTCCTACGTTGTTTCAAGATTAACTGTGGTTTGGTATTGCAAGATAAGGCTAGACGTTTAATGATTATACTTGAATAAAAGGTGCTGTTTGTTTTATCTTCAGGCTGCCAGGAACTGTTTAGTAGATTCAAATGGAACCGTCAAAGTGACTGATTTTGGTCTCTCAAGGTAAAATACTTTCCTTTTAAACACAGAAAACACAAACAGGCGCTGTATAATAATAAAATCATCTTCAAATGCTCTCAGGTATGTTTTAGATGATGAGTACACAAGCTCAGCGGGATCCAAGTTCCCGGTCCGCTGGTCACCACCTGAGGTCCTTCTCTACTGTAAATTCAGTAGCAAATCAGACATCTGGGCATACGGTGAGAAGCTCAGTGCTTTCTGTTTATTAGTTCTTACCCGCAGTTAACCTATTTCTGCATTTATTTTAAGTTACACGAGTGACGTCTAATTACGCTGTCACCACTCATGATTTGTGACTATTAACAGGAGTGCTGATGTGGGAGGTTTACACTTTGGGTCGACTTCCCTACGAACGTCTAAACAACACGGAAATAGTAGATCAGGTTTCCCGGGGCCTGCGTCTTTACCGCCCTCAGCTGGCCAATGAAAAGGTGTACAGCATTATGACAAGCTGTTGGCACGATGTAAGTGACCACAAAGCCATGTGAGCCCTTTTCAGATGTTCTTGTTTAAACATATTTTTCTTATAAACTCAGTTTCCCTGTTCGTCTTTTCTTTGCTGTAATTTTCAGAAAGCAGATGAACGACCCACCTTTCAAGAGTTGTCATTGACTGTTCAGGACTTGCTCTACGAGCTCCAGTAGACCTCAGAATAATCTGTCCACACCAGCAGCTCAGTCTGACCCCTGCAGAGAAGCATGTCCATGTATCCCTGCAAAGTTCTACTAACTGTTTAATTAACAGGTCTAACTTGAGGCTAAAGCGTAATGTGAATATATGTTTTGTGATAGTTTTAATTACTTGTTTCTTAGTCTTTACATCACACCAGTAAACATATCATATAGACTGTGTATATGTCACTGACCCCTGAAGGATTCAAATCTGTTTCAAGTATATTCTGTGTAATATATTCTATTAAATCTTTGTGAAATATAGACACCTTTGTATTTGAAAACAATCTCTGTAAGCTCATCTGTATTGCACAAATAAAAGCCAAGTATCCCAGGCTTTGAAATGTCTAAAGCATAATGTGACGAGAAGATGGCTGAAAAGGATGAACAATGTGCTGTGCTCCACGTTTACAGCAGTAGCTTAAGGGTAGCGTATAACTTTGTATTTGTTCTCTACGTTATTTCTCATTTATTAAAAGAAAAACGCCACGCCGTAGTAATTGTAAAAACTTCTCGTCATCAAATGGGCGCGGTTATGAGAAAGGTTACGTGTGCATGTGATAATGTCATACAAACGCGCTCAGTGATTGGCTGGACTACTTCCTGCTTCCCGTCGTTCATTCACGCACGTGAAGGTCAGCAAATAAGCCACCAGGCAGTGATATTTGAAATAAATAGTGTCATTACGACGCGTTTGGGGGAGACATGGACGGCCAGGGAGCGACATCAGACCCTCAACTTCAACATTTTATCGAGATCGAGTCTCAGAAACAGAGATTTCAGCAGCTGGTGCATCAAATGACTGAGGTTTGCTGGGTAAGAGCAGGAATGAACTAAGAACGCAGAACGTTACCTTAACAATACATTTGGTTTTGATAGATGGCTTTCTGCTACTTTTTGTATATTATTGGCAACAATCTCGGGATTCTCCCGCTTTCGCCGAAGGGACGTTCACATTGGTCTGTATACAGTTCGCGTGCGGACCGTTATGACACCTCAGGACTCGGGACATTGCGTTCCTGTCGCAAATACTCTTATCTGCTGCATAGCAGTGGGTGACAGTTGTACGAAGATTACCGCTCCTGGTGTGCACATGTTGGAGAATACAATGTTAAGCCTAGTTCCGTAACTGATCTACGGAAAAGGTTGGTGCCCTGGAGGGAGGCAACGTGTGGCAATATTAAGAAACATGCCACTAAAATCATCATTTCTGTCTCGAAGGTGTTCCCTCGAAAAAGAAAAAAGGCATCCAAGTAGCCCTAAACAGCCATCGCTACGCACTGCCTGCTAAGTTTAGGAAACCGAGTAAATGTTGCCCTTTAACGTTCATTTGAAACGTCACGTGATGCTGTTACGCTCTACGTGATGATGTCACAGCTGGGATATCTGTTACTATTCATTACTATCTATATCTATTACTGTTACTATCTATTACTGGTGTTTGGTCTGTAACTTATTTTGTTTACTTTTGTGTTTAAGACAAAACATAACGTTTGGAAAAGCACATTTCCGGTATTCTTATTAGGGAGTCCATAACCAAACCCAGTGTGTCCAGTGTGTATATTGGTATGATTTTGTTAATAGCTGTGTAACATTTGTGGTTTAGAGGCACTTTGATTAAAAAAAGAACAAAGTGGTGCACACCAGTCAAAATTGAAACATACCAAGACTTTAAAAATATAATTAAGTAGATTAATTCATTCTTAATTCTGGTCCAGAATGAATTGCTTCTGGAGGTTTATCTTCAGTTTTATTTGCATAAATATTCAAGGTGAATCATTATATGTAAATGAAATTGCCATTGAATTGGTTTGTATGCTTTATTTTTTAAAGCACTACGCATCTCCTTTCAGAAACGAATGTCAATGTGAAAGATCATATATTGAGCAGGTTACCAGTGTATGAAAAGAGCCTGTGATTCCCTGTTGGATTCAAAGCGAGCAGATTGACTGTCTATTGGTTTCCATTTCACTCTAGATGAATCCAAAAGTGAAAATACCTTTAGTAAAACATGCCTTGGATTTATATATCCAGTAACTTCTCCAGCTTTCTTCAGATTTTTTTCTGTATATGTTTCTTTTTCTTTTTTTTTCTTTTTAAAAAGGACAATATCTAACCCAAAATGTTTTTTGCATCTTTTCTAATGAAGACTTTTGTGTCTTTTGTTTTAGGAAAAATGCATGGATAAACCTGGGCCAAAGCTGGACTCCAAGACTGAAATGTGTTTCGTTAACTGCGTGGAGCGATTCATTGACACCAGCCAGTTCATCCTTAACAGATTGGAACAGACACAGAGGAGCAGGGGGGGATTCTCCGAGTCTATGTCTGACTGAAAGAGAAAAAAAAAAAACTAGCTGAAAAGATGGACAACGCATCTGGGGAGCAGCTCCTGCTCTGCGAGGAAGCCGTGTGATCCTGAAGCAGCCGTCAAGATAGAGCTGTCCAATCAAGTGGGAATATAAAGTGTTCACTTTTAAAACAAGTGCCTGACATTAACACCTTATGAGGACTCATGTAAGAGTTGAGGGGTCTTGTCTGTCCGCTGCTGAAAGATGAGAGTTACAAAATGTTTAGACTGTGTTGGAAATCATAACAATTTCTGCAAGTTAACCATTGAAACCGTGCAACTCGGTTTGAATGTGTTATCTGAGGAAAGATGCTGGAGTATTCAGCTTGCCAGCTGTGGTTGACTGCTACATGGACCTCACCACACACTCGTGTCGGATAATACACCCTTCAATGTCTTGACTGATACAATTCCGGACTGTACATAGGCAATAAAAGAAATGCAAAATCATTTTTGTCTATGCTTTTGAAAAATAATTCACTTCCTCTTTTAGTTAGTCTTTTATTGGCATTACAAACACCAATAAGTACAATAACATGAGCGATATGTTACTGCTTGGCACATGTTGGTGATGAACATTTAAAGAGAAAATGACATTCTTTGGTTTACATAACACTGAGGAATTACAGTAACTCAAAGGAATTGTTCAAACCGCCTTAATGTTGGCAGCAAATAACTTCATATTTGTACATATTTGTAACAGAAGGCACAATCTGGCTTTTGTAGAGCGGTAATGAATCTTAATTCCTAAAAAACAGATTATGGTAAATAAAACAGTGCACCAGACATTTGCATTGCAATGAATAACACTACATAATGTCAATTTCAGCCGTCCCATCCCCGCAACCCTCCTCCCCCGGGCCCTGAAATAAAAATCCAGGTTTAGCTTAGAAACTTGGCTCATCCAGTGCTTTCCACATTGTGTTGGGGTTCTCACACACCAAACTGATGCCAACAACTGCCACTGACGGAGCAAGCCGATGTGGTTCATCACCTCAGCAATGGCCAAGGAAGAAAAAAAACGCCAATGTTCGAGAGGACACAAAATCACTCATTTAATAAAGTAAAAAACTGAAATGTTTTCATAAAACTGAAATGCTTTACTTATTAGTTTAGTGGTTTAAACATGTCTGGACTAAAAAACCTGCATTTGATTGGAAAATGAAACATTTCACACATCTGCGCTTTTAGCACACGTGTGATTTGATACACTGATATTTATCAGCATTACAGTCTAATTAATCATAATAGAGTTCATCCAGTAGGCTCAGAAGCTTTTTGGGGTGATTTATGTCACTGTCTGAACCTACAGCCACACAACCTGACAAAATGACCACCAATAACGTGTCAACAAAAATGTTCATAGACGCTCCAGACGTACAGCATGGCCAACAGTTTGGTGTACAAGAGCCCGAAGTTCTAAATTCAGATTTAAGACACCAGTCACATTCGACTACAATAATGTGCATTGAAGCTTCAGAACTGATTTCCTTTTCCTCTGGTGGTAATACTGGTCCTGTTTAAGGGGCTCTCAGATGTGTTCCCCATTCCCTCTTTGAGGCTTCTTCTCTGGGCAGCTTTCTGCCGTTATCTGCTTGTGAATCATGGTCAGGAAGAGCCATATAAGGCTGCTGTCTCCACGGAAAGGCCTGTGGGCTTTTCTTTAGAAAGAGCGGAAGGGCATCCCATGAAAATGTTGTGTCTTTGAAGGCATGGAGGAGGAAGATTCCCAAAATGATGGTGAGGAATCCGCTAATTGTTCCTACTATCATATCAGTGGTCATACTTAGCCACTCCTTAAAGAGGATGGCGGAGCAGGCCATGACAGACGTGGTGAAGAAGACGTAGTAAATCGGGGTGACGATGGAAGTGTTAAATATGTCCAGAGCTTTGTTTAGGTAATTGATTTGAATGCTGACACAGATTACCAGGCAGATGGCTAAGGACCAAAACAGGGGTTCCTTCAGCACCGCTGTCCCTGAGAACAGCTCCTTAATGCCAATTCCCAGGCCCTTGACACAAGACACAGAGAGGGAGCCAATCACGGAGCAGATCAGGATGTAGACCAGGACATTCTTCTGTCCAAACCGTGGAGCCACAGCAAAGATTAGAACCAGACTGCTTCCCGCAACGCACACAGCAAACACTATAAAACCTAGTGGGAGCATTTGAGAATGAGTTAGTACCCTGAAAAAAGGACTCTTCCAAACCTGATGTGGGATTCTACAGCATGGCTGACGGGGCTATTGTGATGAAGGAATTAACCTACCTGGGTCTTTGAGTTTCTCAGCCATCGCACTGAGGGAGGCAACCTCCTCTTCCTGTGGTGCATGGATCACCATGACTGTGGAGCCCAAGATGCACAGCAAGCAACCGATCTTACCGTGGACATTCAGCTGCTCGCTCAGAAAGTAGGAAGAGAGCACAGCACTGGGAAAGAAAGAGGAGTATAAGTTGTTGGCCCACTCAACTTCTGCAGCTTAATCAATAGTCAAAGGAAGATGTATTCTTTTAATAAATATACTTAAAAACTTAATAACCAAGCCAAGGACAGTAAGCACAGATAACTTTGGTTTTCTGTAAATCTGAAAGTTATAAGGTCAACAAAAGATTAAAAAAAAAATGAGAAACATTCACCTAACAAGAACACTCAAAGCTCCGAGGGGGGTCACCAGTGTGGCTGGTGCAAACGCATATGCAGCAAAGTTGGCAGCCTCTCCAGCTCCCACTACAAAAGATCAAAACCCCATTAGTATGCACACATCCAGAGCCCGGGCGGCTGGTCAGGTTCAATACTGAGAACTGATTTTTTTTCAACCCACATGTGCAAGTATGCTCTTTAGAGGAAAATGTAAATCCACAACATGGTGTGGGTGTTGCCTTTATTTCAACATCACCAGCAAAAATACCAAACCCACAAGAGTGTCATTTCTCCTAAAACAAAGACCACAATGTTTCGCTGGTCAGCACAGGAAACAACAGGCGGACTAAAACAAAAAGCCAAACATGGATAAATCTATCACTTACTTGAAATAAGTCCTGCCCACCAGAGCCATTCTTTTAGATACGCATGCCCCCCTTGACCTGTGAGGTACAGACAGCAAAATGAGGGAACAAGCTTTGTAAAAATACTAACTGGTATCATGTTTGTAGGATCTTTGGTATCAGTGATCAAAATACACAATTCAGTGTGAGGTCTTGGTAAATACATGATAAAAAGATTCCGAAAAATAAATGTACCACTAATATAAACCCCATTGGGGACCACATATTGAGCACCTCTGGCAGAATTATCTGAAAACAGCTTCTATAAGCAGGACAATACTCCCTGTCACAGCTCAGAGAATCACTGGGTGAACAAGGACGTCAGGCACACAGAGAGGCCAGGAAACCAAACTGCTCAGAGGCTAAGATTTGTTCTATAGAAAGCAAATGACAACAAAACTCCTTTTTTTTGTCAATATTTGAACTGAAACTGCAAAGACTTGTTTATGTCCATTGTTTAGATTAATCTTAGAAGTAAGAACGTTTAGCCAATCAATAAAATAGTTTGGTGTCATGTTCTGATTATTTTTTACAAAATAAGGAAAAAGCTTAGCTAACAGTTGTAAAAGGTGAATACACAACATTTTTTATCTTGTTTCAAGGTAGTAACTCTGATATGAGTTTGACTCAAAGCTGTTAGTCTCAAAGCCAGTGAGAAAAGCATGTAAGCAACTAGGGAATTAAGCCTTCAAAGAATTTGTTTTTGGCACATTTGTACATTTATTATCCTGGAACTATATGAAATATCCAGGCTAGCAAGGATCCACAAGGACAAGGACCTTATCCCAGTCATTTTGTCAAACATGACAAAAACATGTGTCTCATTAAAAAAAGATAATAAGCAAACAGCAGTTGACTTGTTCACCTCATACTGAATTCATGTTATTGCCCCCTGTGCCAACTATATTGGATGGAAAATAAGGGGACTCCAAACATTTCAATAAATCCAAATAAAAAATTAGATGCTCTTGTCAAAATACAGAGACTAAATACACACATCCGAACAGTAAAATAAGATTTATGGGAACAGAACACAATCTAAAGAGACCTCTATAACCTCAAAGTACAATCAAACACTTTCACATTGTTTCTGAGGTGTACTGCTGAGTAAACAGAGACAAATGCCTGCACATAAACACGTAACAATAAATTAGGTGATCGTGCAAAATGAATGAAGGAGTGCTGACTCCGATGCTGATAAAGATTTAATCACACATGTCTATGACCCACAGCTTGTTGGTCCTTGTGAAAAGGTGATTGTTCATCCAACATTTTTACTAACAAAATGTCTGTTTTATCTTTATCTAACAAATCCAAAGACCACAGCCATTCAGGCACTATTTTCTAGGTGAGAAACAACTGTCTTTATGCCTCAGTCCCTTTATTTAAGTGTCAGAAATACAGAACTAGAAGAGAAACAAAATATATAATAAATATGGAATTTGATAAGGTAAAGTATGTTGTGATCATCTTATGGCACCACCACACAGATATTTTACAGAGTTATGATATTCTGTGATTCTTTACTTTACATGACCCTCTAATGGTTAAGCCATTTAATTTTACCCCGATAAAACGAGTTTGTCAGAAACGAAGGCTTTCGTTACCTGCTCGCATCGATCCCTTGTTGGCCAATCGGAGCAGGCCTTTCTTTTTCAGGATGAAACTTGAGCCGATAAAAACACTGGAGCTCACGGCCAGAGACAGACCGATGTAGAAGTCCAATCGATTCACGTCCATCTACAAAACAAAATGGCGTTAGAGCGATTGAAATACCATCGAAAACTTTTTAAGAGCAAGCAAACAGGCACATGAATAAAATCACATGATAGGCTGACTTACTTTCACACCAACAAATTTAAAGCGGAGTCGTTGAGCTGTATTAATTAAGTCAATAATTGTCCAAATTCTAACCTATTCAATTACTTTATTTAAGTAGGGATAAAGAGTTTAGCCTCCGCTTATAACGTTAACGTCAATAAAATATGTTTTACCTCGGTTGTCATGTTAACCCCATTGGCCTCCTCGGTGGAACTGTAGGAAGGAGCAGCTGATTGGCTGGCTGTCACCCTCACATTTCCTGGTGGGAGGAGTTTCTGAGAGACTTCGAACCTTACCGTTCACAACGTGTAGGTGTCGTGCTCATTTACTCTGCCAGTCAGCAACCTGTACCGTGGCAAGATGATGAAGATAATATTTTTATTAATCTTAATACTGTTTTTCCTTAAGATAATCAATTCCACAGTGTGAAACAACTGTAAGGTTTTGCTTAATTACCTAAATTTCGTCCTCCTCTAGATACAAGTAACACTTAGTGAGACCCTGATAAAGTTCAAAACATGGAAAGGCCATGTTGAACCAACAAATGTAATTATTTGTGTAGAATATCTAAACCCTCTTAAAGATATTATACTTACAATTCACAGGTAGGCCACTTAGACATCAAAACAACAACAATAATATAGTTATAGAAGTTTATTTTTGGCACCACTTCAAAGATCATGGAGATTTTTTAGCACAGGTATCAAGCCTGAACACATTGGTATTGTTTGATAGTGAAGTTTGGTTCCCCAGGTGCATTAAAAGCATTGCTGCATGAGCTCAGTGAAATGGTCTGCAAAGCATGGCATGGAACAAACATGCAAACAAACAAACAAACAAACAGGATCCAGGCAAATTCATTTAACAAAAAAAATGAAACTATGCAACGGTCTTGCAACTCAAAATATGACATCCTCTTCTAAAAGCGAGTGCTATTCCCTGAAACCTCAAAACAAGAAGCATCTCCTGTTCTCAAATATGGACAATTCAGGAGTGTAATGCAGGATTTACACATGTGTGTAGTGTATAAACATTAGTTTTTAGCCATCAAAGTGTTTCAATCTTAATAACTTAAATTCTATACCAAAAATGACGCCATTGAATCTGTTTTGTTTATAAAGAGAAATACAGTGTTGTGAAAAGAAACTTGAGGCTTTTAATGTTTTGCTGACAAAAAATTAATATGGGCTGTTACTGCTCCTTATGGAACTTGACATCTGTATGTCAATGGTAACAGATTGGTTTGAATTCATAAAATGCTATTAATGATCAAAATTCAGTTAATTTTCTTTGTTTTGGAACAGGGCTTTTTCTATAAAGATAAATGAAAAAATAGTAAGGGTACTCTCACAATTTGATTGGTGGTTAGTATGTGATGCAGGCCAAGAAGCGTTCTGATTGGACAGGCGGCTGTCGCCCACTAGAACCGGAAGAGATACTAACCTTGACAAGCGGCAGAAACACATGCGCTGAGCGTTTACGCAAATATCTCCAATACACCGATTAAGTGAATTTAAACTGAAAACGTTTTTCATACCTATCCTGGACTATACATCTAATCAAATTTTACGTGATTTTTGGTAAGCAGCGAGGTTGCAGTGTTACTTAATAGTGCTTTGCGTAAACTCGTAGATATGGACAACGTTAGCAATTTACTGCATCACGTGGATAAATAATCCATCGGTGGTCTTCATGTTGGCGTCGCCCGCAGTTTAACGATGCAGCCTCCTTGTCTTTTTATCACCAGAGGCTGGAAGACTTTACATAGACTCCAACAAAACCACCGTTTTTCTTTAAGACTGAGGAGCAGTGTCGTGAGATGTTCGAGCACCCAGCGTTGTAAAGAGGACAAGAATTACTACGTAACAACTCCCATCTTCTATGTCAATGCTTCTCCTCATTTGGGCCACTTGTACTCAGCTGTTATAGCTGACAGTTTGCATAGGTATAAACTACTTCAAGGATTTAACTCAAGGTTTGCAACAGGTAAATCCTCAATGCAACAAAGTGTTTGTGTGCACACTTTCCAGTCGTGATAGTGATATTGTTTGGATTGTTTGTTTTATAAATATCCAGCAATATCCATAAATTTCCATCTATTGTGCAATCAGCTGAAAAAAATCTGAAGCAAAAGATCAGTGGGTAATATTTATTTAAATGTAATGCATTTTTACATTTTGTCCCAGAAAACAACACATTGATAACACATTTTCCATATTACTTTTCCACTGGGTTTCTTCCTTTAACAGTTATTATTAAAAACATTTAATTGTGTTTTTTTTTTAATCCCAGGAACAGATGAGCATGGCTTGAAAATCCAGCAAGCTGCAGAGGCTGCAGGAAAAGATCCCCTCAGCTTCTGCACTGAGGTGTCAGAGCGGTACAAACATCTCTTTGGCAGCTGCAACATTTCCCACACAGACTACATTAGAACCACTGAGAAGCGGCACAGGGAGGCTGTGGAGCATTTCTGGAAGGTGCTGTGGAACAAAGGCCTCATCTATAAGGGGAGTTATGAAGGATTTTACTCCACACAGGATGAGAGCTTCCTCATGGCTTCGCAGGTCGGCGATGCTCTGGACTCTTCAGGGAAAGAGATCAAAATATCGTTGGAGAGCGGACACAAGGTAACAGATAAGATGCTTTACAGAGTTTTTACATGTACGGTATGGGAATTTGCTCCCCGTGTGATTACCAAGTCCTAGCTCTGAAGCTGCACCCTGAGGTCAGGTTCAAATGGATTTTCATTTGTAATTACTAACCAACAGATGTGAGCTTTTACTCAGCCTGAAAGACTGAAACATTTACTTTGTGGCAGCCGTGGTGTTTCAGCTTTTCTACAGAGGAAACCCCTTCATTTTATGGTGTTTGAGTAAACCATTTCTCCTCTGTGTCGCAGGTGGAGTGGATGAAAGAGGAGAACTACATGTTTCGTCTGTCTGTGTTCCGCTCTCAGCTGCTGGACTGGCTAAAATCGAATCCCGGGGCCATACAGCCCGAACGCTTTCACCAGCTTGTTCTGCAGTGGTTGCAGGAAGACCTTCCAGACCTCTCGGTGTCTCGTCAGAGAAGTCGTCTTCAGTGGGGCGTCCCTGTGCCGGGAGACGCTGAGCAGACCATTTACGTGTGGCTGGATGCCCTCGTGAATTACCTCACGGTGGCGGGCTACCCAGACACGCATGACCAATGGTGGCACGCGGTCCACCACATCATAGGAAAGGACATCTTAAAATTTCATGCCATCTACTGGCCCGCTTTTCTTCTGGGCGCCGGACTGCCCCTCCCACAGGTGATACATGTCCACTCACACTGGACAGTTGGAGGAAAGAAGATGTCTAAAAGTCTGGGGAATGTCATCGATCCGTGTGAACACTCCCAGATGTTTACAACCGACGGGATGAGGTACTTTCTGTTGCGGCAGGGCGTCCCAGACTCGGACTGCGATTACACCGAAAACAAGGTCCGAAAGCTGCTGAACGCCGAGCTGGCCGACTCTCTGGGCGGCCTGCTGAACCGGTGCACGGCCCCGGCGCTCAACCCAGCTCAGCTCCATCCCTCCTTCTGCTCCCGGTCCTTCCCCAGAGAAGCTGGGGGCAAAGCTGTGGCCGAGGACTACCACATGCTGGAGGCGGTGAGAGGTCTGCCGGCCGTGGTAGAGACGCATTACGAGAGCACGCACGTGTACAGAGCTCTGGAGGCCATCGGCGCCTGCGTACGGCTGACCAACGGGTTTGTCCAGCGCCACAAACCCTGGAAGCTGGACAGGGGGGACGATGGAGACCGGCGCTGGCTGGACACCATCATCCACGTGTCTCTAGAATGCCTCAGAATTTACGGCACGCTCCTCCAGCCTGTAGTGCCGGAGATTTCCGACAAGTTGCTGACCAGACTTGGGGTCAGACCAGACGAGAGGAGCTGGAAAGCTCTGGACTTCCTGCCGAGGTTTCGGGGGGTGGACTGCCCCTTCGAAGGGAGAGCGCTGGGCTCTGACTCTGGAGTGCTTTTCAACCGCTTGGGCAGTCAGAATCCCATTAATGAAAAAACAAAGCAACCTAAATCTGCACAGTTGAAATGAGTTTTCAACCACACTTGGCATTAAAATGGACACTTTTCTCCAGATTTTCCCAAAAATCTTTTCACTTTTAACACCTTTCACCAAATCTAAGAGACTCAGCTGGCATTTAATAATATGCCCTGGCCTGGAGTCATCATTTTAACTCGACTTTTGTTAAAAAATGCCATGTACTGTGGATTATTATTTATTTCCTGTTTTCTTAAATGTTTAAAATAAACATTTTGTGAAAATTAAAGTTGAATGACCAAGGAAAAAAGTGGTATTCTTATTCTGAATGTGGTTGAGTTAACTCCATCTGACAGTTGTTTTGTTCCACCATGAGGCTGGAGTTCCTCGTTTAGGTTATTTATAACATGCATTTACTTTGAATTCAGCCTACAGTATGTGATAGACCTTTAACATCTCCTTCGGGGATCACAGTTGTGTGTGTACAGCTTCACAAAACAGTGTGAGGAGGCTCACAGCGCAGTGTGAAAACAGTCAGCAGATTTTCAATTATGAGCACATTCAGACATGAAGAGGAGTAAAACCAATTACCTGTCAATGAAACACTGATCCCTCCCTCTGCATCATTAGATGAAAGTATTTGTCTAAAAATGCACAAAACACTTTGACTGGCAGCCAACACAAGATCGAGACATGAAAACTGACATGATTTTTTTAATGAGAAATACACGAAACTGAAAAAATTGTACAAATTGAAATAAAAAAAATTGCATTATTCTTAGAATTTGTGGTTAATTTTTTAGTTGTTTTTTTTTTTTACATAGACTTTTCCATAATTAACCATTAAGTGTTTACTTCAGACAAGGCTCTTTCCTGTGATAATCCATAATTACACAGATAAAGTCATGATATTTTTTGACCGACAACTCAGTGGTCAAGCTGAGATTTGGTTAATCTGTTTGGTGGTCCTCTGTGCTGTGAACTGAAGCCTTCCGGGACAGGACATTCCCCCAAATGAGAGCCTATTCTCCACACACTACCAAAAACATGGATGATCAGTAGAATGAATTGGGGCCTTGTCCTGGTTGTGTATCTGAAAAGGAAAGCGGGTTGGATTGATTACAAACTTGAAACGCACGTGAATACAAATCATTTTTCAAATAATGGGTTATAAACTCACTTGAGAGTTGCTGCTGCAGCTGCCTGACCAGAGCGGCCGTCTGCTGCTGCTGCTGGGTCTGCTGCATTCCCTGTCGTGGGAACTAAAACGTGTAAAAAGTCAGTGATCCAAAACCATTACATCTATTATCCTTTCAATCTTTACTCCTGCTCGTCTTCTGCTAAAATTAAGTGCATCACGTATCTAGGAATAAGATAATACAAAGAGGTTTCCTCAGATTTTGAGTTCCTCATGGCTTAGCTGATAAAACCACTGGCTGAGCCAAGAGCAACTGAAGACTAACAGACTAAAATTCCAAAAAATATAATGTTTCATACAGATACCAATTTCATTATCTGTATGTGTTTATTCAAAGCCGGACAAAAATTACATTTTTATTTTTTCTAAGTCATTTGGAATAAGTTAAATTTCCTTCACTAGTAAACAGAAATGTTTTTCCCCCCCAAAAAGTCAGGAGGCTTTGTCAGACCAACCCAATAAGCCAGTAAGTCTCTGCAAAGGCAACCCAGGCCGATGTAAAACTAAAATATATATATATTAAGAGTTTGGGCTGTGCTTACCATGGCTTGCTGGGGGGGCAGCGGCTGCATGCTCAGGCCCTGGTTCTGCGCCTGGCCTGGGGGGGGCACCGCCGACACCTGCTGCTGCTGCTGCTGCTGAGGAACTTGCTGCTGGGGGGGGACCTGCTGCTGTTGGACCTGCTGCTGGACCTGCTGCTGTTGCTGCTGGACCTGCTGCTGGACCTGCTGCTGGACCTGCTGCTGGACCTGCTGCTGGACCTGCTGCTGGACCTGCTGCTGGACCTGCTGCTGGACCTGCTGCTGCTGCTGGACTTGGGCCTGCTGCTGCGGAAACAGAAAAAGCCCCATGCTAGTTAATGACAAAGCCGTTTCAGAATCAGCAGAATCCACTACAATGAAAGTTTTTAGACCAGTTACCCTATCCATAAAATATCTGAGCTAATGCAGAGCTGCGGATATCTGCAGACACAACAAACCTTCGAGGTGTGACTAATTTCTGGATGCGGCTGAGGAACCATTGAAATCAGAAGCTAACTTTGAGAATTCATTGAAAGCTGGAAGAAGCACACGTGAGAAACAAGGTCAGCGAGGTGACCGCCTTACGCTCTCTGTGTGCCTTTACCTTGCACAGATTCAAAGCTAAGCCATTTTGCGTCCGCAAATAGTTCTGAATTGAGCCGCGGAAGCAGAGAAAGGGATGAATAAGCTTATATATGTTTTAACCGATCTTTTAAAGAAACATTCGTACTAATTCCCTTCACCAATCGCTTTCCATTTTCTTAGACTGAGAGACGGCTTGTGTGTCTTCAAATATCCGTTTACTCAGAAATAAACTGCAACAAATAAACTGGAACAAATCAAGAGTGAAATCCTGAAGGAATGGATGGGTGGCGTACTCTGAGTGTTTGCTGTCTGAGGTACTGATGTTGCTGTTGCTGCTGTTGATCTGTCAGCATCTGATTTGGCCTCATTCCTGGATGGACTCCCTGGGGTCCCATGTGACTGAGAGGGTGCATGATCTGATTCTGCTGGAGGGGCTGGTGGGCAAACCTGCATTTTCCAGAGAAGAAGAAGAAGAAAAATAAGCCAGGAGGTGGAGCGGCTGGCATGAACTCAAGACAATGAAAGCTAAAATGCAAAGTCAAAACTGGGAGATGAATGAAACACGGTCTATTATTAAAAGCGGGGGAACGATCTAACCAGACCACCCTCCATACTGACCTCTGCGCGTTCTGCATACTGTGGGCGTAGCCTGGAGCCTGCTGGTGAACGTAACCACTGGGCCTCTGCTGCATGTGCCTAAGAGGATCCACCGTAGCCGGGTTGGTGCCAGGATGGGTGCCCTGGAAGTTCTGGTTCCCATATGAGGGCGGAACTATCCCACCACCTTGGGAAGGATGCTGCTGCATGCCCATGTGTGATCCAATTGTGGTGTAGCCCTGAGATATGTTCTGAACAATGGTGATCATTAAAAAGAAGGAAAAGGAAATTATCATTACCACTTAATTTCAGGGTCTTAGTGGAGAAGCCACAAATGAAAGCTTAAACTGCGGCTGGCATTTCTCTGCAGATGACTGCAATAAACTGTATTAAACCTTCAAATATAGAGGTACCTGTGATGCTTGCATGGAACTGTATGGTTGGTTAGGTGTCATCTGTCTAATCTGCTGCCCCATCAGGTTTTGATTCTGCTAAAAAAAGACATAACAGGAAAATTAATCCCACAGGTTCAACTTAAAAGGATTGACAGAAAAATCGGACAGAATTTAGGTTTTTGCTCTAGTTCATAAATCCGAGTTGAAATTGATGAGTTGCTGGAGTGGACTAACTCACCAGTCGGACCTGTAACTGCTGTCGCAGAATCTGGCCCTGAGGCATGTTGGGCTGGGGCTTGTAAGCCATTTGGTACGGCTTGTCCAGCCCCATCATGCCCGGCATGTTACCCTGCATGCCCGGCATCATGGCAGGATAGCTATTCCGAGCGGTCATCATTTTGTTCATCTGTGGGTTGCGGGTAGGTCTATATGGAGGCTCTAAACCTGGGCCACCTGTCGAAAAAAACAAAACAAATTTAAACCGCAATCGCAGATGCTAAGAGTCAAACCCCAAAGTGTGATTATGACACCATATTAAAGAGGGCTGACCTGGGGGCAGAGGCTGGTTCTGGGGGTACATGCCCATGGTCTGGGGGTTGTATTGTTGTCTGTTGTAGGGGTGGCTGGGCATCAGCTCCGGTGCCATATTAGGTGGGTAGTTCACGCCACCTGGTGTGCGGTTTGTAAAGTCCTAGAAAGTAAAAAGACACATCAGGATTCACTTTTTTTTAAAAACCAAGAGGAGAACGTACAATTCAGAGGTCATAAAATGTACAAATATCCAACCTCGGTTTTAGTGGACGACGTCCTCTTTTTCTTGTTGCTTTTCTTTGCTTTTGACTCGGTGGGCACAGCTTGCACGTTCTTCTCCTGTTTCACCGTCTCCATCATCTTCTTGTCCGGCTCCTGGGAGACCGGTGTGAGAGGCTCCTCCTCCTCAGGAAGCAGTTTGAGCGGCTCCAGGTAATAGCTACGAGGTTTGGGCTTCTGGTGGGTGTGGTAGAGCAGGAAACGCTGCTGCTCCTCGAATTTAGTGATCTTACGGTCGACGCGCACTGTGCCAAACCAGCCCCACGAGAGAGGAGCTGAGTATTTTAGACCCTCGAAGACGTCCCATGGAGAAATCTTCTGTTTGGTAGATACTTGAAGACCCTAAAGGAACAGAGAGACAGCTGGTTTGATCAGCTCAAACTTAACGTGTGGGAGTTACAATGACAGCTATTTTAACCCAGGCTCATCAATTAAAGAGAATTCTATCATGCCAAATCCCATTAAAAAAAAACAACAACACTTGGTTTGACCTTCCTTTCTCTGTATAGAGATGGTCTGATGGTGTGGACAGCACTTACCTCCTTCTCAAAGCCAGCAATTTTGTTGCCCTTTGTGTCTATCAGCGAGCCCTGAGGTTCACAGGTGATGACATCACGGGTTTGCTTGGGCAGCGGCAGAAGCTGGCGCACCTTTTCCAAACTCTCTGATTGCCGATCTCCAAGCTCTTTCTGCAGAGATAATAGGTAATAGATAGGTGGAGACAGACATGATCAGTTTGCCTAACATTCAAAGCAAACAAGAATATTGTGTGTCACATTTAAATTGCTTCATATAGAGACATTAGAAACCATCCCTTTAACTGTTATCACACATAAAACAACCAACTGTTGTAGGCTGAATTGATATGAGCTGACATTTTCACTATTAAAAAGCAGGCTTTGATCAGATATCTTTAGTCTGTACTGAATTTTTTCAGTCACTATTTTAGCATCCAGATTTACCTTGTGAAGTCTAAACGTAAGTATTTTTACAAGTTCTGCTGCAACCTATCATCAGAGTAAATTACAACATTTTACACAAGTATGTACTCTCACATCCAGCCTGCCAGGCAGCTGAATGTGCTGATCCCACTTACCCTGAGCTTCTTGACTAGGTTCATGTAAGCCCTCTTATTCTCCTCCATGCTGCCCTGAGAGATGCTGGACATGTCAGCTGCCAGCGTACCATTTATGAGCACACTCAACATGTCCAGCACAGTTGTGAAGAGCTCACTGTTGGAGAGAAGAGAAAGTATGAGCCAGGCAAAGAACGCTGCATTATGAATCTGGAGTTTCTATTGACAATGGTCACTCGACCGTTTAGTTCCATGGTTATTAATATGTGGGCTGTGCTTTGGAATGAGTTTTTTCTCTTTGGTCAGCACTCACTTATTGGACTGCATGTCGACCGTGCCACTGCTGATGATGTCGAGCAGCAGCACTGCCCACTCTGTGGTCTGTTGGGTGCTTCGCTGCACTGTATCAAACATGCCGCCGACCTATTCAAGAAAATAAAAACAGACAGCTCAGCAGAGCAACAACGATTTAAATTGTATAGGTTTTCTTCTGTTTCATATTTTAAATAGTCTATTTTGTTTTTGCTGAGTCTTTTCTGAAAAAGTGGTGCTGACTGGCTAAAAATAAATTGCAGAAAAAAAATATCAGAGAAAATTTGCACCTCTATGAAAAAATAACACAAAGAAAACATTGGACTGATAAAATCCTCTTACAAGATTCAGCCGTAGCTTCAGAGCCTCGTGCATCATTTGCTTGGCCTTGCAGTCGTCCTGGAACTGGTCTTCCCTCCAGTTGGTGACTATCTGCTGTACTTGGCTATAGAGGGAAGTGAGAAGGCCTTCCCTTTGCTCATCCTGCCCCTTCAAGCAAGTCAGAACCAAAGACAGGAACGGCTGCTGGCTCAGCAGAGACATACTGCAGGGGGATAGGACACAGCTCTTCAAAAACCATAACACAAAAAATAACTATTTCTACTCTCAAACAGGGGTGTGCTTTAATCAAACCTTTTCTGTTTCTGCCTATCTCTCTCCTTGCGTGAAGAGGAGCCGAGGTGCTGTCCTTTCTCCAGCTCCTCTCCGGCTGCCTTCAGCACATGTCCCTGAACTGAGGTGGGCAGCTTGGCTATCAATGGAGCCACCAGCCACACACCCGACCGCTCTGATGAGCTGCACACAGAGGTGACAACAACAGCTATCAGATGTCAGCATCACTGAAAGAATGATGTTAGAGCGACACGCACCTTAGAATGGGTTTCATCTTGCTCGTGGTGCTGTTGTTACTGGATGCAGAGCCACCCTGAACTGTTGCTCCATTTCCTGAGAGGTTACTTGAGTTCATCTCAGCTGATTTTTGGAAAACTTCTATAGTGGCCTTAGCTATGTTTTCCAGAAGGGAATAGAGCTCCTAGATTAGAAAGAAAGAAAAAATGGAATAACCAATCATATCTCTGAATTTTGCTGGAGAACAAATGTCTAAAACCATCAGCTGAAACTAATGAGACCTACGTTGTTTGTGCTCTGTTTGATCATCAGCTGCAGTTCCAGGGACGACTGCCTCATTGTCCATTGGTCCATATTCTAAATGAGGGAAAGGAGGGTTAACAAACCTTTGTTTATGCTTTCAAGCATTTACCCCAGGTCTTCATTTGGCCAAAAGAGGGCACCAAACCACCACTGTATAGATCCACTTTAAGAAACAAAAATCAGCTCCTAAAAACAGGTCTACACATCAAAGATAAAACACTTTTATCTCAATTGAAGACACATGAAAATAAATAATTTAAGTATCTTTACCTGAAGGATGCGTTTGATACGCTGTCTCTGGGGGTTGTCACCATCATCACTGTCCAGCTGGCGGTGAGGATAGCAGATAAGCTGCAGTAACCTTTGAGCCTGAATGTTTACCAGCACCGGATCCTGCAGGGCGCTGCTGTCCTCCGACAGAGACTTGAGGCAGCGTTCTCCAACCCACTCCTGCAAGACAGAAAATGACGTGATAAAGTCTGGTAGCAGTCGACAACTTCGGAACCGAAGTTCAAGGATCAGGTTAAACTCAGTCGTGCAGAATGAGCCTGGCTACCTAAAGCCAGAATGGATGATGAAAGAAAAGTGCAATGGGCCGATTTCTCAGAAATGGAAGTGAACAAGCCAAAGCCATGCCGAGTGGAAAATGTGTTTGAAGTCTTAAACACTCTGAACTACTGCCAGTTCCCTATGGGGCCTTTAGATCTATGTGGCATATTTTTTTTACAGAAACTATTTTCTGAAAAGTCCTGCTCGTATCCATCTTCCTGAAGGATTTTAGCCAGAAAATATGTGGCACAATGCTACTAAAGGTGAGGAGGCAAATATACCTTTTACATTTTTACAGACAAACTCTCTGAACTGCGACTGTCAAGATTGTCACTTTGATATTTAAAATATTCACTGCGTGTCAGCTCACAGCCTCACCTGCTGGCAGATCGTCTTCAGAACATACTTTGCATATACATCCAAGCTGGCGGTTTCTATGGAGACATTGCGGCCCCCAGGTATGTCGTCAAGCCCGGCAGGATGTGACAGACCTGACCCTCTTAGCTCAGCATCGCCTGCAAGATGAGAGATTGAATTAAACCAACCAGTGAAAACCCATTATCATCCAGTAACAGCACAGAATGTAAATCAAAGCTCCAACAAGACAAAAGTGAAGTCCAACTAAATAGTCCAACTTTTTCTTGATTAGGCTCATATTGGAAACCACCTTTGTTTTGACAATAAGCTCCAAGTGATGTAAAGAAAATAGATTCCTACCCAGCATGAACACAGCTTTGAGGACAGCAAATACTGCTCCGACAACTATGCTGTTCTGGGACGCAGCCAGAAGATGGCGGTCACAAGACGACCGGATACCAACTGGGGAAAATATGATGAAAAATTCAAATGCGCAATCGGGCGCACAGGAAAATGTGCCGATGCAGCGGTAAAATGTTTCATACCCGTCTTCACGCCATCTTGGGGAACAGGGTTGCGCTGCGGCGTCTTAAACAGGTGCAACAGGATTCGACAGGTGAGTCTGGCTCCCGGCTCAGAGTCTTGCTCACTGCAGGCTGACGTGGAGATCAGACAAAAGCATTCATTGGCACAACTTTTCTTCCCAAATTCATCAGGAGGTTCACACCGTTTTTGCATGTGCAGCACAATCTCATTCAGTGTGATGAAATGAGACAAACTCAGACTAACGGTGACTAAATGAAGCTTTGTTTCCACAGTGGGGAAACAAAAATGTAAGAGTCAGATGTTTCTTTAACCACATCGACTGGACCTTTGAAGAGCACTGTGATACTATGGTTGTCATCCAGTTGTGTAATATCAGGTACTTCGGCTTGAATTGGACAACATCTTTGAAGTGCTTTAAGATGACTTTGCTCTAATACTCTGATGATTTAACTGAGCAGGAAGGGAACTACCACTAGAATGTCAATTATTTTATTCATATGAAATAACTATTTAATAGTTTAAATTATTTCACACCAAAATATACCTTTCAATAGATTAGTTAATTCTTCAGGTTTGTACAAACCAAGTAGAGAGAGTTTTATTTCATCCAATAGGACTGTGAGGGTACAGGGGACACTTACAAAGTCTTTAAAAACACTTGGGGGAAAAAAAAACACTCTTTATCTAATGTACAAGTCTCTACAGGTGAGGATGTACTATAAACACCTGAGATAAATGTATGTGTTGCTAATTCTTACCTGCATTGAGAAGGGAGGGAATGGCAACACAGCGAACCAGGTCTTCCAGAAGCAAGCACTGCCTAGCAATGAGGATGGCAACGAAAGTTGCCAAGGAGTCGTGGAAGGACAGATCACTGACCTGAGGGACAAAAGGCCAGATTTTAAATCGACGTGTCCTGAAACTGAGCTGTAACTTTAAGAGCAGCCTTTAGAAAAACTCACGTCGACGTTGCACAGCAAATCATTGAAGCCACAGTTGCCGTTGTTGGAGGAGCAGCAGAGAGCCTTGAGAATGCCGAGCCACTCAGCACTCAGGGAGCGGCAGTAGGCCGTCAGCTCCGCACACAGGATCCCAATATCATTGACCCTGAAAGCACATTAGATGGCATTAAACATCTGTTTAACAAGGGACAGATGTGTAGATATCACAAATGCAGCCCTTATCCTGATTAACACACCTTTCAGGGTCCCGGTGGTCCACACAGACATCCATGAGCACATTGCAGACAAAACTGTAACGGTTGGCTGGGCTGTCGTTGAGGATTTTGCCAACCATGGAGTGGTTGAAGTTGCTGGCCGAGGGGTTTGCAATGGCTTCCATCATGAACACAGGATCCCAAAGCATGTTGGAGTCCGATGGGTCAATGTTACAGTAGATGGAGTTTTTCACTTTAGAGCAGAATTCACTGCAAGAGCGCAAAAAAATAGAGCAAAATTTGTCAATGAACAGTCACACAAAGTTTGTATCACATATAGAAGATTTCTCCAAACCTGTTCTTAAGATGGCTGCAGGAGATGTAAAGGTCATACAGGTAGGCCAGGATACAGCGCTCTGCAGAGGAGCAGTCTGCCGGGTTTACACCAGACTTCACCACAATGTGTAACCTGTGACCACATTCATAGAAATGTAATTTACAATAGTTCTGTCAGCTTTTTTATTAAAGTCTCACGTATTAGACTTTTTTGTTCTGGAGGCGCACAGACGAGACGAGCACCTCGCTACAAATGTAACTGCAAATCACGAAAATGCATATGACTACTGTGACTGGGTCCCTTTGCACGCTGCCAGACAGCAAGCTGTTTGCTCGAGTGGAATTGCTCTGAGAGACACGAATGCAAAGTGTAACAGGCTGTAATTTCAGTATCCTCCCCTCAGCTATTCTCATTTTAAAAGCTCTGCTGGTCCCTGCATTCACTCCGTTCATCATTCATACAGATCGTGTCCTCAATTTTCTGCTGTGCTACTGTAGCTTTACAAAAAATTGATTGTTTTTCAGCATTTCTACTTAGTCTTTGAAGACAACTGAAACTTTTGCCTTCAGTTGCTGGTGTTTGAAGCTGTTTCAGAAAACTGCTGCAAACCAGAATAATCAGCTCCTAGTTTATGAAAGGGAGCAAACCCTTGATTTTACCTTTAACATGCAGTTATAGCCCTAAACATCCTTTACACTACTGTAATAATGAGCTAAAGTGTACGCCTAAACCACAAAACATACCTTTAGGGACATTCATTCTTTCGTTCTGATCATCAGGCAAAGGGGTGTCAAACATTTAAGTTTGAAAGTGACATACCCATCAAAAACCTGTGCTGTCTGCTCAGGATTAAGGATGAGGCAGGAGTGGTATCTCCTCAGCACAGCGACAATGCACAGACACAAGCTAGTGGTGTAGCTTCCCACTAGGCTGGAAGATTTAAGCAGCAACTCAGCTTCCACCAGAGTCAACTCGTTCAGAAGCTGCAAAACACAAAGAAAAATCCATGTCTTTCTCCAAAATAAAAACGGACTGAAATGTATTACTCTGGCTTTCACCTCACCACACATGACAACAATACCTCCACCATGAAAACATGTACCTGAATAGCGAAGTCTATGAGGCCACTGATGTTAAGGGAGTACTCCATGAGGTCAAAGATGAACTGGATGTGCTGGACGAGCGGCAGGTGGTAAGACATCCCTAAGGCAAAGCTGGTGATCTGCTCCAGCACATTTCTGGACACCTGTGTACAAACAAAATATCAGGAATACAATTTCAATCCCACATCTACCATCTAAAAACCTAAAAAGTGAACTATTTAAACAATAAGACTTTCCCAATTTCATTTAGGCACCTCAAACAATTTGGTGATAAATAAAAATTTTTTTTTAAAGTTGATCTGGCAAAACCTGAATATAAACCTACACGTCTTTTATAACAAGGTTTACACAAACTTAGTTTGCCTATTTTCTGAAAGCTTCACTTAAAACCAGGGGAAAAGGCCAAATTTGTATTTTTCCATCCCATCATTCATTTTACCTATAGACTATCAGCCTTACTGTACAAAGAGAATTACATCAATATTTTAAACAACTCGCAAAATATCTTAAATCTGCTCGAACACCAAGCAATTAATTTACATTTGTATTAAATTGACTATATTCAAGGCTTTTGCAGTATTTCTTAAAAAAACAACAACTTTGGTTTGTCATTCCTTAATTTAACACAGGTTTAATTGTGATTTAGTTTGCTGCTCTAACCTGGGAGGTGACCTGGTGCTGGTCAAAGTGGGAGAGGTGCTGGAATTTGGAGAAGATATCTTCTGCAGTGGGAAAGGCCTCCGGCTTACTCCTCTTCCTCTTTTGTCCTTCCTCCCCTCCTACACATGTGGGGCAGAGAACACAGAATCTTAAGAGAGAAAGCAGAAACTCATAAATGATCGTGAATAGCCTGGCTGTGAAATCTAGTTAAGCTGCTGGTCTGCAATCTTTTCGCTCCGGCTTCTTTTGATTTGAAGCTTCACTGTGGCAGACGATTCTAATAATGCATTTGAAAAACGGAAGATAGGAGCACTTTCCGGAGAAAAACACAGTTGAGAGCTGAAGGTCACCGTGAGCTTGCAGGTATGCGGCACAAAAACAGCCCAGTCTATGTAATTATAACTCTGAAAATCTTAAATCACCTTAACAAGGTCACATGTATCTGATATAACAAGTCTGTGAACAGATGAATGCCATTAGCATAGAAATTGAGTTGAGAGGAGATGGAGAGATGCAAGCTGCCCTCTGCGGTACATAAAAAATGAAGAGCAAACTTATTTTAAAAGAGCTTAAAACAGACAGCCGAAGTTTGAAATATTCAATCCGGAGAAGATGGGGAATAACAGCTAGAATGAGAATGTGGAGAAGGGAGCAACGAACTTGCATGTAAACAATGTTTAACACACACCTGGAGATGGTGAAGCTCATGCATTTTATATCGCAGCCTGGCAAAACACTATCTTTCATGTGATAAAAGCATTCCACGGTGTGGAGATACAGTGAAAAGAGAAATCCAGCCAACAGAGAGGAGAACAAACGCAGACTTCAAAGCAACCTCCCAGATTTCAAGGATGGCAAGCGGGTCAAACAGAGCTGAGATGTATTCGAATGGCTGTCCACAGGTCAGCAGTAAAACACCAGCTAAAAGGGCTACATGAGTCAGATTACACGAGGGAGTCGCACTCTCACCCGTTTCTGCTGTGCTTTTGCGGTTGAGCACTTTCAAGATGTCTTTAGTAATTTTTTTGATGGTGTGTTGCGCCTCATCTCGCAGCTTGCCGACACCGTAGAGGACCACTAAACGCTGATTGCATTCATGGCTGGCACTTTCCTCCTACAGCCACAAACAAACAGAAAAACACGTCAACTGGATGCGATCAACAACAATAAAACTATATAAACGGCGGGAAACAAACAAGTGGAAAAAATTTCCGATAATTTACATTAAATCTTTTCTCTGGAACTATGACTTGATTGTGTCTGTTAAAGCATTACTCAAAGGGAAACCACCTCTGAAAATGGTAAAACACAATGCAAAATCCGAAAATGACTAGTATTAAGAAATGAAACTAAAGATGATGACTAATAACATATTAACTTTTTTAAGACTGCAGACTAGAACTGACTGTTCAGAAAGTTGTTGAATCTCAGATTTAACGGATAGCTTTATGTTGTTATTACCTGTGGAATGGGGAAGTGAGTGGCATACTGAATGTGACGGGGTTGCTCGTACAGCTGAGGAAAGGCAGGGTCCATGCCCTTATCCTTACAGTTGGGCTTGCTGTCTGCCTCTGGAGCAGTCTTCTCTGGAGACGGGCTCCCCTTCGATTCACAGTGCATCGGAGGTGAGAACATCTGCAAAGAAATGAAAATTATGATTAAAGAAATGACATTGTGTCAGAGCTTTACAGTAAGAAAAACTATTTATTTATAAATCATGAAAAAATAATCAGGGTTTACCTCATCAAAATTAGCACTGGAGTTATGATCGATTTCCATTGACTCAGACAGCCCCGTGTCCTGTTGGATAGACAATAGCCTCATGTTAGCGCTTTATACTTCACTGCAGCTTGGTCACGCTACACAACAGATGCCTCGAACATGCCTCCATCTTCACACTGCTGCCTGCATCCTGCTCTTTGCGCTCTGATTCGTCAGAGGGCTCGTCGCTGGGGGAACGAGGACAAGGCAGGTGGGAGTCTGAGGCCAGGTCGCCGCGGGAGATGAGCGTGCACATGTAGATGTTGTGGGAGAAGACGTCGTGACGGATCAGCTCACAGAAGAGAAGGACTAAGTTGGAGAACTCTACACGCTCGCTCTCGTTCCCTGGCTCCGCTGCAAATGAGAAAAGAGGATTTTCAATCACTCATATCGCTGGTCTTTCCAGCGAAAGCATTTTTTAATAAGAATGAAGTGGGGGAAGAAATCAGACACGCAGAGAAAATTAAGTAAAATTCCTTCAAATATTAGACTAAGATTGAGTACTGCACATTTCAGAAAAACATCTACAAGAGAATAAGTGGAGAGAGAAAAGACTCACTCAGAGTGGGGGCCTGCGTGTCGAGGAACTGCAGCAGCACATCCTGAAAGACCGGCAGGGTGGCAGCGGAGAGAGAGCCGGATGATACAGAGCCCTTCTCATCCACCACCTCCGACTCACCACACCTCTGCAAACCAGGGCACGCCGGACAGTCAAACACAGCAAACCACCTCACAGCAAACTGTAGAAATCCCTCCTAATTTAGCATGTTTATAAGAGCTTAAAGTTGTTTTCAAGACCCAAGAGGAACAAAATGCATGAGCAGGAATGTTTTAAATGTTACTTAGAATAGCTGTGGCTCTATAAACCCCAACTACTAAAATGAGTATGCAAGTTGAAAGAAAATTAAATTGAGGCTTTTTAAAAATTGGAACAATAGTTTCTGACATGGTTTCAAATATGCAGTATTTCAAATATTTTTGATATTTTCATTAAAACACTATATTGAAGGAAATGTAAGCCTAAAGTGGGTTTTCCTTTATTTGAAGGGGCCACCTCAAAAAGATTGGAATAAAGTTAGTTAGACAGATAGGGGAAAGTGCTGAGGCGGGACTGGTGTTTTTCTTACCTCTGCTTCTATTTCGGCCTGTCTCTTTTCCAGCAGCTTGGCCACCACCATCGCCCTGTGTCTGCCAGAGCGCTTACAGCACACCGCCCACTCACAAAGCAAGGTCACCACCGCGTCGTCGTCAGGTGACATCTGCGCACACACAGACGTTAGGAGACGGAAAGGTCAGGAACAGAATTCACCAAGAAAACTTGAGGTCAACTTTAATCTTAAACGAAAATACCAACCCTTACCTCGTGGCCATCTTTACTCTGACCAGAACCAAATATCCTGTTATACAGCGAATCCAGCGAGTTGTTAAAGTCAGATTTCTCAAAGCTGTGGTTATCTAAAACTTCCAGAGTGTGGAGAACCCTCCCAATGGTGAACCCTGGTGAAAGATAACATCATCTCAAACTGTTCTAACAACCAGCGGCCAGGTGTCTGCAGAGATAAAAGGAAAACTGCTTTCTTACCGGCCGTCGTCTCTTGGCACTTGTCGAATGACCATCGGAACTCAACGGCCTGACCTCGCTCCTTAATTTGCTCCTCGATTTCTCGCAACTTTGAACGAACCTGCATCAAACAACGTATTAAAAATACAAGTAGATAATAAGTAAACATATCCAACTACGTATCCAACAGGAATATCCTCGGTGTAGGAAGAGGACTTGGGAGGCTTTTCTGAAGCTTCACTGATTCTTTACCAATTTCAATGAGCTTCTTTTGTTTAATGCGTCTGCCATTATTTACTCTTAATTTCCTTTTTTGTGGACCACTGTAAATCTTGACACTCTTTCTATTCTTTAAACAAAAACTGGAGCAGACCATGACTACCTGCTGCGTAAAGGCATTGTTGCCTCCTGGCATTGGCAAACTTGAGGGGGCGATGGGGAGGAGGTCCAGAGGTGAGCCTGTCTTGTTCCTGCTGTCGGTCAGAGAGTAATGCCATACCAGGGCACTGGGACAGCACAGCACTATGCTCTGATGGCAGGAAGGCAAGTCCAGCGTGGGAAAGGGACAAAAAATACATTTAAAAACAAGTAATAACATTTTGAAAAGCAGAAAGAAAACAACTTCTCAACGTTTGTGGGGTGGCAGGGCTGTTCCGTTTACGGTACCTGTAACATGCAGCTGAGGCCGAACACCAGAGGCCTGTGCTGCGGGCAGATGTAGAAATCTGTGAAAGGCGTCTGGGGCTGGTTCCCTCCTGCTGGCTGGGAGGTCGGGGTGGGGGGAAGGGCGCTGCCTTGCTGTGTCAAGATGCCATGGGCCGGATGCCCTCCTGTGCCGGGGCCCAGGCTCCCGTCGCTTAGCAACAGGTTGAGCCGGCGTGTGCAGAAGTAAGCCAGTCTTCGCGACAAGTAGGCAGACTGTACAAATTCCCCTGAGTACTGAGGCACACGGGAGAGACACACAGCATTAACACCGGTCAGCGTTAGAAGTAGAAATTAAACTTTAAAGGAAAATGTGGCGGCAGGTCCTCATCGGGTGCTGTCAGGAAAGGTCAGCACCCCCAGATGAAAACACACAACATGACAGACTGCTGACAGCTGCGGAGGGCTGACACCACGCAGGAAGGTGGACTGTACGTATCAGAGGTATATCAAAACTCCACCAGTCACAATGCGAGTGCAGATAAGCTTACCTGTAGCAAGAGGGGCAGGAGCAGTCTGAGAAGCTCGTCTTCTCCAGGTCGGACCTTCTCGAAACACTCCAGCACCCACGTCAGGAATTCATGCCGGTCTAACATCCCATCCTGAGCACAGACGGAACGAGAAGACATTTCCCCCTTTAATAGGATTACCAATGCATTTATTGACACTAAGAAAGGCCTATATTTTGTTCAAAGTTCCCAAAACCAGCTTCCTAATTAATAAGCCCCAACAAGCTGCAAGCAGGAGGGCGGACAGCTCTATTTTTCTGTTTGTAGCTGTTTATCTATTTGATCAGCGTTATCAATCTAAATACATCAGATGGCAAATGCATCTGAATTCATTTTAATTCCAAAGACAAGCCTCCTGTTCGTGTTATGTACTGAAGACAAAGAAAACAATCCCCCTGAGGTCAAGCAAACTAAAAGCATTTTCTTTCCAGTCTAAACGTTGCAGGACAAAGGAACAGCTGAGCTGACGCTCCGCATGCTGCATGTGGCACAAGCCTTAACGCTCTCTGTAAATGTGTTAATCCCCCCAGCTGAAGACTTTACATAACAAACTGACCTGAAACATGAACATGGCCAGCTTCTCATTATACTCCCATTGCTTCATGGCCGTCTCCACGTCCGCCGGCATGGCAGGAAGAGGCGAGCTGCAGCCCTGACTGGGAACCTGCCGGTAAAACTCTGCCACCTTCTGAAGTTGCTCCCAAAGATATTTAGTTTTGATCTGTGTCCATTCTACACACAAAACAAACAAAACTACTATTTAAAACCACAAAAAACAAGATTAATATACCATTTCTAATTCATTAAAGCACTCCATCTAGCAAGAAAAGAATATTTTTTTCAATTAAAGCCAAAAAGCAGCTTCTTCTTACCTATACAAGGATCAATGACGTGCCTCTTCTTGACTTTAGTTTCGGTGATAGCAGCGTGATATGCACAGGTCATCTTAATCATCCACGCTGAACGCATCACAGGAACAGAGTACTTGGCCAAATAACCAAAAACTTCCTCCTTTTTGCTAAAGATTGGTACCTGTGACAAGAACATTTAGCACCAGTCAGGAATGTTGACTAACCAAAAATACTGATCTGAAATTGGCAGGAAAGCAGAACTTGTAGACAAACATTAAATGAATGGATTCAGATCATTTGGTTTGTTTCATGAATGAGTGCAAAGTAAATAATATTTAAGAATAAAGCAATTGCATTTGAACAAGTGAAAGGAGAAGTAAAGGAAATTACAATGTGGCTATAAAAGTAAGTGCTTTTAATTCAGTCTGATCATGAACAAAAAAAATTCTAAGAGAGAGAAATGACAAACAAATTTACACAAATTGCATTCGGCTAATTCAGCTAATGCCTTTTGCTTTGTAATAACTAAACAAAACAGCTCTGCTAAATTTAGGGACCATTTCAGCCTTTTCCATTCAAACTGCAACAGTTTCTTATAGAAATCTCACAAAACATTTCCCAATTTTCTTAACAGCCACCTTAGAACTAAAGAGCATTAACAAACATCTTCTGTTTATACATTTTCAGGTTGTCCCGACAGGAGAGGACCATCGAGATCAGCCAGATCAATAACAAAGCAAAGTATATAGATCTGGTATCACATCTGCAGCTGTTTCCAAGAACAAAAACAAACAAAAAAACAAAACAGATTCTGCATAAAATGTTAATTAAAAAAATGCAAAGACTTGAAAATAACAATACCCATACTGAGCTCGACAAATAACAAACAGAGCTGGAACTCCAAGCATCCAAGCGAGTTTCACTGGAGACGAGGAGCTGGCTGCTCTTATGAGTGAACAGATCAACAAATCAAAGAGCCAGCAGGGTTGTTTTTCCATAAGCAGCCAAGATAAAACCACAATCTGAAAGGCAGCATTACAAACAGACACAAGTGTGCGGCAGAAAACCCTGCGTAGGCTCCAGAGCACCTTCATCAGTAAAAACCAAGCATCGCTTATCAGGCATTAGTGCAGAGTTAACCACGATGTTAAATACATACATGATCAAAATGGAAGGGGGACGATGCCGTTGGTTTTACGTCATTTAAATAAAAACTGCACCATCAATACAGAATGAGATACTTAGGCGTTGTGGTTTAATTCAGGGAGACTTATTCACACCATAGTCGTGGCTCTGAAGCCGAGATGCCAACTACAAGCTGTCAGAAATCCAAAATCAACACCCTTTAAATGCAAAAAAAAAACTGTGAAGGTGACAAAACAACTGAGGAGGTCAAACCGGAGAGCAGACGGAATCTTACATCAGCAACCGTCTACCCGAGGCCCCGAACCCCCGGTGATTTAAGCTCAACTCTAACAACTTGGCTCGGTCGCTGGTCACCAACGTGAGATCAGCGGGGGGACAAACAGCTGGGGAGAGGGACAGGCAGTTCTCCTCAAACCGATTCACCCGAAGCCGAGAGAGTGTGACAGTGTGGACAAGAGAGACAGCTGGATGTGGCTGATAAGAGATCAGAGATCAGCCAGATGAGTCAGGGCCCAGTGAACAATCTTCAGGTGTGAGCCCCCCCACCCTCCCGCACCCCCCGCCGATCAGATCTGTGGTCTGTTCACAGCCCTCTCAAACCACATCGATGTAACTGAAGAAAAGGAGGCAAACTGATGCAACATGTGGGTAAACAAACCCCTGATCCAACATTTTGAAAGATGCCGCTTCAAAGAATTCTGGCTTTTCAGAGTCTACCCTCTGATGTGCTGCTTGGCAACTGCCTCTCTGTTCCGGTCTCAGTGTCGAACGAAAGCAAATAACATCAGATGAACCTTTACAAACCCGCTGGTATCTCGGCATTTTGCCTTCAAAACGGCAACATCTTACAGACATCAAAACAGAAAATAACACCAGGGAGACACGTAGGTTTTCGCATTATCGTTAAAAATGGGACAAAAAAAAATGTTAAGCGTGGTCATAAAAGCTGCTGAAAGTAGGCCAGCTTAAAGTAGCTCATCTAGCGCAGGGCGACACTGTCAGACCTTGTTAACTTTCTTTGCTTCCACACATCCTGTCTCCCTCTGTTTGCTTTATTTCCCCTCAGTTTACGTTTTTTTTTCTAAGAATTGCAGGATAACGTGGGTGCAAATGCATGTTTTGTGTATAACTTGGAAAAAAAGGTATATTTAGGGTGCATTTTAGTGGATAAATGGGCTAAAGCTAGACTGTTGGAATCGGTAGGACTATCAAATGGAAAGAATGATGACCTCTATTATAGCGTAATATGTAGTCTCACCTTTTTAGCCAGCTGCGTCAGAGGTTTAGTCCCGGCTAAATCTGTGAACCAGTTATTGATGGAGCTCTGGGACCTTGCTGTGACGAGCCAGAAATTATCCTTCTGGTTGACCTGCGGTTTACGTTTGCCTGTGTCCGGGAACGTGTTGTACCGCAGCTTCTCTGCAATGATGCTGCTGAAGTTTGAGCTGATCTGCGAGGCGGCGAGGGGAAACAAACCGTGACCAAACATGTCTGGAATGATACGGCTGCGGGTGAGATGCAGCCCAGAGAGCAGGCGTTACCTTCGAGGGGTTGAAGTTGACATTTTTGGCACTGCCATGTTCATCACCAGACACAGCCGGCTGGTTGTTGAATCCTTGCTTCACATTGAGGGCAGTCAACTCATCCTGCAGCAAACACATTGTAATGCGCATTAGAGGAAAGTCATGCAAAAATAGTAGTAGTGAGCTCATCGTTTCTGATCCCAGATCAGCTACAAGTGGAGGGCATGAGCTGGATTAGCTCTGTTGACACTAAGGAAAGTGATGTCATTATACCTTAATGGTTCTAAATGATCTCTAGGGTAAACGATGATAGATTTTCAAGCATCACCTCAGACTGTGCTGGGTTAGTGACAGATCAGCAGGAAGAGGTGCTACATAACCAGGACAAACTCAAGATTTAAACTAACCACAATAATCAGAATTCGATTATCTCAGCTCCACTGATGCATAAACGACTTGTTTTTAAGTCAAAACGATTGGATATGCATGTTTCCCAATCATTCATAAAAAATACCGATATTGTAAGATAAGTAACAGTCACGCATAATCTAAATATAAACCTATTGGTATTGTGCTTTTCTTTACAAATCCAAACGTTGGCTGGAGTTTATCATCGAAGCCCACAGAAGCCGCCGGCTAACATGTTAGCTTAGCCAACGGTGTTATCAAACGAGCAGGTTGTTTTCTCAAGTAAGCTGCTAACAAGCTGACAACTAGGAGCTGTTCATTGTTGTTGCTAGGCCCCGAACGTCTCCAGAGCTGCTAAACGGGCTAACTAGCGTTAGCTCGCGCAGAGCCTTTGCTGAGCATTTTCCTCTCTCAAACGCCGTCTATACGCTTCCACGTCGCGCATCCCCGGACTTCACCTCTTTCTGCTTCGGATCTTGCGGGTAAACGTCCGGAGGGCCGAGCCGGGGCCGCTTTAATGGCCGGTGTTCGTAACTTAAGATCCCGAAAGCAGCCATCATCCAGCGGCATCACAGCCAAGGCTTTCCTCCTCCCCAGCAGCAGCCTGACCCGAGCGACAGCAGGCACGCACACTTCCGGTGCGCCTTTAAGCCCGAGCTTCACAATAAAAGCCGCGGACCGCATCCGTGCCCAGTTAGATCAGAAACAAACTGCAACACTGTAGGAAGAAGTCCTTTGTAAATGAGTTATATTGTTGTTATCAGTCACTGATAATAATCATGACCAAATTAAGATTAGAATTGTCATTCTACAGATCCTATAATTAAATAATTGAATAAAAATAGAAAGTGGGCACAATTAAGTATAAAAATTATACTAAACGTATTACAGATAATTCTGCACAATATACAAAATGCAAGAAAAGAAAGACAAGATCTCTGACTATGAAAATGGTCATAGACATGCATGTAAATGATTTAATGAATGAATATCTAAGTGAACACATTTTTATATCATTGTTGTTGTTGTTGTTATATATTGCAGAGCAACACTTTGTTATGTTATTAGTACTTTTGAACGTTTTATTAAAGTTGCAAACAAAAACTTCCAACATTTACCAGTCTTCTTTGGAGTCCTCCCCTGTGACTTGGGCTTTAAATGGTCTGAGTTCAAAGTTTCAGTTCCTCTGGTATGCTGTGAACCTTCAGCACATCTGAAGTCTTCAGGAACAGCTTTACTTTCTGTCCCTGGAGAGAGAATGAATCACAAAGAAGCTGCTTTCTTCATTTTTAGTAACACATAACTAGAGCAAAACTCCCAGACAGCCGCAGGTCTGTGTTGACTCTTCTCTTTCTGTTTACTGAATTTGGCTGATTTATTCAAGTGACTCCAAAGACTTTGGGTAACGTTGTTTCTGGACTTTGCTGCATAAACAAATGAGCTTTTCTGTGCGTGAATTGTACAACTGTTGCTCACTATGTGTGATGTTTTGTTGTGTATATTTTTGGGCCTCAACCAGCATTCATATGTCAGCCTGTTTTTTTTAATGCAGCACATACAGTTGCAAACGTTTACAGATGTTTAGAGAAGATTAAAGTTTAAAGAATGATGTTTTTTTGCCACAAGTAACACTGCACATGAGCAACATATACTCACGCACCCTCAGATACTCGCATCTCCTGAGTCTTTCAGGTGCTATTTTTACACCCAAACACGTGTCTGACCTGTTACCAGTTCATCTGAAGAGTCTCTGAATATCTCCACACCTACATTTTTACCCCACTTGATTTTCCACAATTTTATTGCCCCATTTTTAGGTTTTCTTTTAGAAATGTTAAAAGCAATTCAAGATTAATAAATATTTTTAATAAATAATTAAATCATTCAGTTCATCATTCCAAATCTTTTACATTGAATATAAAACTTTTTTAACATTTACAAATAATTAAATTCTGTTCTAATTTATGTTACTCAGCATCTCAACTTAATCTAGAAAGGGGATTTTATGTGTCCCTTACAAAAACCGTGTCTCCCCATCCTTTGCTAATCTCCAGGGACTAATAAAAAACAAGTTCTTGGTTTTGCTATCTTGGTAAAACGTGAGAATAGATCTTCATCAGAGCTTGAGGAGTTCGGCTTTCTTAATTTTAGATTGGACTGATAAACTTCAGTGTCTCCTTTGATGTGTTTACAGACAATGTTTCAGTGTAACATCCATGAAGCTATATCTCAATCTTTTTTATTCACTGTTATGCCAACAAATGCAGAAAATCCTGATTCACTGTCTTTTTCCACCCAATATTCTCTGAATTATTTCTCCTTTATGTACGCCTGCATTATCCAGCATGGAGTTGGTGAGCTGTTAGCAGGCGCCTCTGCAGCTTCGAGTTTAGCACTCTAATTTTCCACTTTCATGCAAGTTAATGCTAAACTGATCTATCTGGGATAAAATGAGATGAGATGCAACTCTGGAGCTATGGAGAGACGCTTACCATTTTTTCCACCATAGCCTGGAGCCTTTTTTTACTTTCAAATAGTGAAACATCTGACACAATTGGACACTCTTTTACAAAAATACTTTATTTTAAAAACACCATCATATTAAAAATCAATTATTCACAAAAATATTGCAACATTGCCATCTAAAGTGTACAAAGGCAATCTTGAAAATGTATCAAAGCAATAGGACGATATTGCACTTTTCATGATTGTTCAGTACATTTGACTATAAGGCAGAAGTCTACAGTTGTTTTTAAACATAAACATTTAAAGACAAATCCTGATGCTGATCTTCATCATGTTGCAGATAATACACTGTACCTCTAAACTGCAACTTATCCACATCAGAATTACCTTGCAGGTAAAACATTAAAAGCATTGTAAAACATGCAGATTTAAATCTCCAGCATTTGGAAACATTCGCTCCCTTCAGAACACAGTACTGTACTCGCATGCAGCCTAAAAAAAAGCATGCTTTAATGGCTAAATCCATGATAAAACCCAGAGGGGCTGAGAACTCTAGGCACATGTCCCCTCTGCCATAATTGACCAAAACTGTTGCATCAGATTGAAGCAACGCTGAAACAAAACAGATTATATCAGTGTATTTTACACAGTGTTTCACGGGAATGGATAACAGCTGATACCTTTTTTTTTTTAGGTACCTTGTATTAAATAATAAACAGAAATTATTGCAGTTAAAAATTTCAACAACGCTATAACTCTGACGCCATCCTCTGATTGTCAGTTTGTCATAGTGAGGATTCAACAGCATGAAAGAAAAAAAAACTAAAAGTATCACTGATTAACTGACCTTCAAAGGAAGCACTGCCATGAAACATAAAGTGCTTTTGTCAGAGTCTGAACCCTGAATCAGGTAAATATTTGGCCCTCAGGAAATGAATCCTGTGACACTGCAGCATACAACAAAAGTCTGTTGTTTCTTATTTTTTGCTCACTGAGATTTCACATGTTTTGCGGCATAAATGTTGTCTCGGAGTCTTTGATGTTGCAGAAAACAGACACACAGAGCAGCCATCGCTGTATATTTTATGCACCACTTTCCCATCATGGTACGATTGGAATAATTGCCACTGTGTGTGCGAGTGTGCACGCGTGTGTTTTAGGCTGTGCACACATTACGCTGCATATTTCGTGGGATCGCCGCTCTGATCTCCGGAGTGTCTGCTTTGGTCTTCCGTTGCTTCTACCATGGCTCTGAATCTTGAATTTTTATCTCCCAGCAAAGCTGTGGGGGAGTCAAACTCCACAATCTAAAAAAAAACAAAAACAAAAAGGAATACGACAAAATAAGCATCAGCGTATTAAATCTGCAACCTTCCCTGCAGCAGTACATGAACAGCCTTTCAATATCTGAAAATGTACCCTCAGACAGCCTCGTTTCGCTTTGTCAAAAGACCGATTTCTGCCGAACAACCTGAGCTGGTAACTAAACTGAGTAGAATTCATTCTTACAGTGGCTGACTGAAACCCATGAACACAGCTGAGGTCTTAGGTTCGAACTAGTTGGCATAAATTTTCGCTGTGAAAATGAGGCATTCTTTTTCCTCTACGTGCAGCACAAGTGAAAAGTGCAGCTTATCCTCCCGTTCGTCATCAACTCAAAGCCACCAGTGAATTCAGGGCAATTCCATCTCTTGAATGCGTTTGTTGCCTTTTTCTACACACCTGGCCGTTGTCCAGCACCATGACCCGGCTGCAGCTCATCACAGTGTTGAGGCGGTGTGCGATGATGAGAGTGGTGCAGCTGCCAAACGCACAGCGAACCGTCTCCTGGATCAGACGGTCTGTTTCTGTGTCAATAGCTGCTGTGGCCTCGTCCAAAATGAGTATCTAAAAACATCCAAGAATAGTTCATTTTACGGAAAAGAAGCAAAAAAAAAAAGAAAAAACCTTTATGCAAATAAATTAGCAGGCTTGACATGATGATGCAAGGAGTTGCTTTTTCAAATAGACATCATAATGTAGCTTTAAGTGACCCCACTAGGTGGCAGTGCTATGCTGTGCAAAACATCTCTCATCTCATTAAAATAAACTAAAGAGGTCATCTTCCACTAATAAAAAAATAAATAAGTTCTAAATGTAAATACAGAATGGCAACATTTCACACTCGGCACCTTGCTATTCCTCAGCAGAGCTCTGGCCACACAGAGAAGCTGCCGCTCCCCCACGGAGAAGTTCTCTCCGTTCTCCGTCACTTCTGAGTGGAGTGAATGTGGCAGCTGGCTGACCTGAGGACGGCATTTACACAGATTACAGGCCAGCTTCTTTAGTCACTGGGAGCGCGATCTACAAAGCACTCTTTTTATAACTCACCATTTCTTTAATGTGCGTTTTTTCAAGTGCTTCCCAAATCTGCAAATCAGAATATTGATCCCATGGGTCTAAGTTGCTCCTGTTGGGACATAAACCATAATTATGGCACTTTTCAGCTGGGTGAAATGTTTCATTGTGAGACTATGATACTGCTGACCTCCCAAACCCAAAACAATTTCTCCTGTCTTTGTATATCTAAAGATGGGAGAGGTCCATAAAGCTACACACAGCAACGCTGCTATTATCTCTTGTCGAATTTCTTATCACAGAGCACAGATTTCCCAGAGGAGAATCAGACACAGACTGTCTCACCAAAAGACGTAAGACAGGCTCCAAAAGACTTGGAATGGAAAATTGTGCATGTGTATGAACAGGATGACAGCATGTCAGTGACTCTATTCTGCTGCTGCTGCAAAAGCCCAAACATTTTCAATAAAAACATTTTCAAGTAAAAAACCTAGACTGCGGCTTTAAAACAGCAGGCTGACTAAAAGGCTCGTGAGCGTCTCCAGGATGAGGCCACCGTCTAAACGGGCACACGCGCAGACACCCATTACGTTGTTTGCGAAAACATCTTTCTCTCAGAGAAGCTGCATTTATTGCTAAGGCGTGGGGATTTTTTCCCCTCCATTTTCCCAGATGTGCTTTTCAGTCCAAGATACATTTTGTAAACCGGAAAAATCCATTATTCATAACTATTGATGACGAAAGTAATTATCACTGGATTTACCTGACTGTACCGATGAAGAGCACTGGCTCTTGAGGAATGATGGCTAGCTTGCTCCGCAGGTCATCCAGGCCAATCTGTGCAATATTGATTCCGTCAATGATGATGGAGCCTCTGCTCAGCTCCACAAGCCTGAACAAGGCTACACCCAGAGAAGACTTTCCTGCAAACACACAGAGAAAAGATGCCGCGCTAACAGATGTGGACATGTTGCAAGAGAAATGTAAATGCGAGCTGAAATGCTCCCGGCCGGGGAACAGAGAAGGTCAGGCGTACCTGATCCTGTGCGGCCCACAATGCCGATGGTCTCTTCAGGCAGAATGGTGAAGGACAGGCTCTTAAGCACTTGTGGCAGATCATGTCGATAACACATGCTCACATCCTGGAAGGTGATCTTTCCCTGCTGGGGCCAGGAGGGGGCAGGAGTGGCTGCCTCACAACGTCTGGGAGCTTCACTTTCAATACTCTGAGATAAGGAAAAGTGATGGTATCTGGTATAAATCTCTGAATCTGTGAAGAGGAACAAGCCCTCTAACTGGGCTGAAGTGTTTTTCCCTCTATGAGCTTTCTTTGCACTGGAGGGAAAAACTTGACTTGATATTTGTATCTTTGCAGCTGGATGGCTGTTATGTGTGCCCTCTGGAGCTCTGAGTGAACCAAGGCTGTGGCACACTAAGTTTCTTTTGCCTGTTGCTTAGTCCATCACATATATACAAACACACACATGGATATGACATCTGTCTGGAATAAATGTGCAGTCACATAAAAAAAAAAACATGTTCACATAGAAAAGTCACAGAAACCACAGCGCTAATGAAAGCTCGAACCTTAATATAATGATCGATCCTTTCAACCGATGTAAACCGGGCTTCAGTCTCTGTGAGCAGACGAACCGTGAACTGAAACAGGCCAGTCAACTGGAATTTAAGGACAAGCAGAGGGTTAAAAAGGTTAAGGATTTACACAATCACAACAATTGCAACAAAGCACCCACTGTTTAGGCCTCAGCAGCACATTTGCTGACATGTCTCCTTTACAATCTTACTAATTGATCTCAATTATCTGCACAAGCAGGCTTCACTGGTCTTGATTATACTTTTCGGAAATGCTGTGAATTTTTAGAAATGCCGTGACAGATATCTACATTAGGAATTATAAGGAAAATATTGATACATTGACTAATTTGGAAGGTTTACCTAGCATAAAGGCTAAAAGATTTATCACTTCCAATTTATCTACCGTCTTTGAACTCATTGACACATTTCATTCCATCTGACATTCACTCTAACGAACCTCGGCTATACCAGACTTGTGGAGTTAATAATTTTCTCATTGCCTGTTAAAAAAAAACTGCTGTAGTTTCACCATGGTGTCATGTTGACATAATGATGTCGCAAATTTGGCATGCTGTTGTTTGAAAGCACACCCTTTCGTGGCAGCACAATGAATGAGTTCTTTGTTGGGACATAGTGCAACCTGAGCGTGAAACAGGCTTTTGTTATACTTAATAGTAAGATCAGTGTATATTTTCCATCTAAAACCAGACAAAGCTGATAACAGAGCCCCGAGACGTACAGTGATGTCATACAATTTCCTGACAGATTTAACCAGGTAGACACCATAAGAATCCTGATCAAATCAAGCTAGGCTGTTGCGTATTGCAAAACAGATCAAAACTCATTTTACAGTGGATTTGTTTGTCTGGATTTATCACTTCTATGAAAAGTGACAAAGGCTTAATTCATGATGCATTATTCTTGTAAGAATTATTACTTATCGAGTAACTTCCTGCTCGAATATCTTTCCAAACAGTTGATCAGTAAGACTTAAGGAAAAGGCATGACTTTGCAAAACCTATTGAGCTTTTGGATTCTTCAAAATAGCAACTTCTCATTCTTTGAGAAGAATAAGACTGTGTACTTTTTGTGTTTCTGAATGCGTCTGTTTACAAACCTGCACTGCATACGATATGGCCAGGCCTGCATAGGCTGGTGCTATCTGATTGTGCATGAAGACAATGAGAAGTGCTACAGCAGTGATAAGAGAGATGCTGATGAGGTCCAGGCGGACAGCCAGCCAGCGCATTGCACAACTAAAGAGGTAGTTGGTGGCCTGGTTGGTGTCCAGCAGTTCCTGATATCTAAAACAAAGAGAGATACTGTAAAGCAATTCCAAGAAGTGCTGTGACCCCCCTGCCTCCTTTTTGGGAAATTTCTAACATAAAGTCTGATTTATTAACAGGCTGAGAGGGAAACTGCTAAACTACATGAGAAGATAAGGTGAAATCAACATTTAATGATTTCTTGTTGCCGATAGATAACATTGTGCTCACCTTTGGAGAAAGCTGTGTCCTCTTCCATAGGCGTGGATGGTAGAGAGCCCCTGCAGGCTGCTAGTTAGGTGGGAGGTGAAGGGTGATTGGCTGATGTTCTCCAAGCGCTTCAGCTCGCGAATGAGAACCCTGGAAAAAGACAGCAAGAATGTTTTACATTTAACAATCGATGGGTATATTGTTTTCCTGGTTAAATGTAAAATCAAACATGATCAACTCCAATTGTAACTGGGAAGATTTGAAAACCTATTCTAAGGTGGAATGTTATCCAGTTTGATTAGAAATGGTAGGGTTCTGTATCAAATGCATTAAACTACAAAGCATTAAAAGTAAGCCATAGCCAATACAGTACACATAGTTTTTAAATCTGTCTGAAAATATGGCGCTTTGAGGAAGAAATATGACCCACTTTAAGAACCAGTGCACGTATGTCACATTTCAGCTAAATAGATACTTGAGCTTTGTGAAATCTTGGAGGGAACGCTGATGTCTTAATGATGAAACAGAACAGAGAATTGTGGGATTGGAAGATGCTTCAGCTCTAATGATGCTGCTGTGTGGCAGACAGGTAGTGATGAGACAATACATAAAATCCACTTCCAAAGGCTGTGTAAGATTACAAGTGATGGTCACAAACTCAAAGACCTGCAACTAATAAACACGTGTCACCGATTAATAAGTATGGGAAGGAGCAGTTTCCTGACAAAGAAGCGGCTTTTGTCTACTTTCACTGGCTAATAAAGAGTGACGTGAGCATGGAAGTTCCTAGTCTTACGTGAATCATTTGGTTTTCTAATGAAAGCTGGGGGGAGATGAGAAAAGCACACGACACTTCCTCCCTTCCCAATTTTGATGGGAGATCCACTTTGACATCCGTTCATATTCCAGGATGTTGTTATATTATAAGAAAGAGTGCGTCATTCCCTTAAACGGCACTGCTGATGGTTATCAATACTTTTAATTCCCCATAAGGGATCCACTTTTCCTTCTGATGAATACTGAGTTTCTCAGCTGTGAACTTGGTGCCTGCTGCCTTTACTAACACTTTACTATTACTACACCATCTAAATGCACCCAGAGAACATGTTGTGTAATATCTGAGGTATCTTACAAAACAGGAGGATGTTTTTGTTTAATCTCCGTCCCATTCTGCCACACCACAGGCCAACATCATATAAATCATATGATTAACACGATGCCACACAGAGAAAAAAAATCCCACATGATTACAGAGTATGCTGTATATGTCTATGAATATTGTTTTAGTTACTTCTGAAAACAAAACATGGATCCACGTTCTCCTAGATTTCGCATAAAGACGAAATAAGATGATTCTGTGGTTATTTCCCAGGACACCAGCAAGCGGGCTGCGGTTTCTCTTGGCGAATTCACCTTTATTACACAACTGCTGCAAAATCGTAAATAATGACAAAGCAGAGTCATCGGATCAGCCAGAACACTGTTGCAAAATGTACCACGATACAGGAACTCCAGAGACTCTGCATGTTTTCAGACAGCGATTATTGCGGTGCTTATCGTATGCAATATTTTTCATTTTCTGTGCACTCTAAATTCATGATCCCGTGATATAAACATTAATGATCGCAATGAGTCCGCAAACCCATAATCATGGGACTGACAGGCGTGATGTTTTTTTTCAACAAATCCATTTGAGATATAGAGATATAGCTCCTGTGAGATGTCTGTGTTGAGGGACTTGGTGATAAAATCAGAAGGAAAAAAAATCAATCACTTTTAAAGCCCTAGGTGGATTTTTAAGTGTGTCTTTGTCTTTAACTTCCAGGAACTTCAGTGTTATTACTGAAATCTGCCCGCTGTTGAAGCATCAAACTCTATCCTGTGAACTAAAAGCTATGATAACAGGAATTATGAGAGCCTGACCTGGAGATACGGTTGACAATGCAGAGGAAGGCACCCAGGGGCAGGATTGAGATCAAGAACCAGGGGAAGACAATGCCCACCATCCCCAAGCAAAACAGCACAAGTGTCAGGTTCTGGAGCAGCATTTCAGCTTGCATAGAGAGACGCACATCCACTGTGAGAAAGAAAAATAAACTGTTAGATCTGCTCTGTAGCACCACGTGAGATTTGAGGCCTTTTAGAGTCTTTTTTACCAGCACAAGACCCGTTTAGCTTACACCCATGGAAAAAAAGTTCATAGCAGTTCAACCTGAGATAGTACCATTAACGAACGTGGATTTGTGGCTAGATGAGCGCTGCAATGGGTTAGCAGTGAGTTTTTGCCATTGTAGACATAGAAAAACTCAGATGAAACTCAAATTTACCCAGTTTGCCTTACATTTGTTATTTTTCTCAAACAGGAAAGTAGCAAAACATCTGCAGGCAACAGAAAAAAAAACATAGAAACAAACACAACCACCCAAAAACAACAAGTCACAGATCGACATGTCAAGCAAAGACAAAAGTGAAGTGGATAACAGAGCGCAACTCACAAGGGAAAATACTCCATGTCAAATCACGCTGTGTCTCTGCACTACAATTTGTCAACCACGGTGACCTAACTGGCAGAGAGCTCTCCTGAGGGAGAGGTTTACAGTCATGACAAATCAAGCCTCACCCTCATCCATGTCCCTGGAGAAGCGGGTCAAGATTCGACCCAGAGGTGTTGTATCAAAAAAGTGCATGGGGCTGAGGAGGAGCCGGCGGAACAGCTTGTCGTGGAGCGCCGACGCAGCCTTAACTGTGCACTGTTAAGACAAGCAACATGACATGAGACCTGACACATGTAAACAAACAACTTTAACCAAACATACGGAAACAATCGTGTGCCGGAAACAGACAGTTGGAGGGAGATCACACAGCGATCACACAATGCAGTGGCACTTACACGTTTCCTGCAGAGTAACAAACACTACCTCACCATATGCCGAGCATGTGAACTGGGGTGGGTGGCTATTTTCTTTCCTCGCACAAGGCAAGCTGTCAAATCTTCATTTATAATGAGTTTCTGGGAGGCTTACATAAAGGCCATGACCCAATGCGCAAGAGACATTTCTCCAATTGGACAGAAATTACATGTGGCAGCAGAGAACAAATTAATTCTATTAATGGAATATTTAACACTCACAAAGATCCCATCACAGCTAGAGGTAAAAAAAGATTAGCCATCTTTGAAAAATTAGCAATTTCAAGTGGCACACATTAACGTGGGGGACTAACCTCTGCAATGCTGTGTCAGGACGGGTTAGTGTGAAAAAGAGGACGTGCACCCGAGGGGGCACTGACTTGAATGAGCGCACACACCAACGTATGTGTGTGCATCCTTTCTCTCTCTGTCTTTTTTTTTTTTTTCAATCACGGACTGACAAATAGGCACACACACACACAGCCTTTGTAAAGCTACGGAAGGTGGACAAATACTAAATGGATTTGGCCTGCAGCTATTTTCCATTATGGTGGTGGACTCATGAGTGCATGAACAGATGACAGCAAAGAAAATTAGGGAGGAGCACATGACTGGAAATCTCTAATGATATAATTTTGATCTTAATATCAATTTGCAGTTCATCAGCGTTTAAAAATGTGAAAAAGTCTGTGATAAAAGGATGCTTACCTTCACAAACACAAGGCCTCTCACTGTCTTCAGCAGTAAAGCAGCTCCCATGGAGATGACATAAACAGTCGAGTAGTACTGAATATGAGGGTTGAGGCTCATGCTGTTGCCCTCCACTGTTTCATTCACCAGGATTAATGATGTGTTCTGAGGGCAGATGGGGTAACAAATTACAAAGGCTGACAAAAAAAAAAAGAAGAAAATTTCCCCATTTAGCATCAAATTAAACAGGGGGAAAGGCACTTTGGCTCACAAAAACCTACATTATATCAACCAGTCTGATGACGCTTACTATTCCAAGCACATCTCTCAACAGCAGCCGCCGCCTGCTTTGCTGCACATCTGTTTCTTCACTGCTAGTGCTTGTTTTTAATTAAGTTTACCGAGATGCCGTTACTTTTTTAATCATGCACATTCAGATTAATGCTCAGTCTGCTGCCACAACTCACTGAAGCAAAGTAGTTATTTTTCTTGTGGGAGCCAAAAAACACACTAAAGAGAGGAGTTTATTATAATAAAGCAGGGTATGCTTCCAACTTACCCCGCTGCCCTGCCTGATCCAGTGACTCAGCCACCAGTTACTAAAGGCTATGCTGCCTGTTGTAGAGAGGAATAAGAAGGCGTTGATGATAAAAACTACTGGACCCCCCGCTGCTTTGATGTAGGCTCCATACACAGACCAGGAGACTGCGCCAGAGCCTTTCTCTTCCGCTTTCATCAGTTGTTCTGAATAATAGGACAGGATGGAAAGCCATAATAAGAAGTTGTTCAAGAGGCAGTGTCAGGAACAAAAAACAGCACTGAACTTAATTTAATTTGTTTCACATGGAAAGTGGCAGGCCTTCTCACCTCTGCTTTTGCTTTCCACCTTTGGCGTTAATTTGGCAACATCAACAGTGCCTTCAGTCTTTTTTGTTCCTTCCCTTTGCTGGCTGTTTATACATTTCTCCTTAACCAGATTCTGAGGGATAAAAAATGGGAGTTGAAGGTGAATTCTGAAACATTTCACCAGTGAAACTGAAAGCTGCAGTTACAACACAATGAGCGTTAACAGATGAGATATCGGTGACGCGAACCAGAACAGCTCGCCAGTGAATCAATGCACGCATAAATAATGAAAGGCCTTGTATGTATTAACATTTCCCTTCTACTGGGCCTGTCTATCTGTGCTCATGAATTATTCAGCTTGTAATGTTCAATGTTACCATGTAGCGGGGGCAAAGATGCCTTATTCAAAAGAGCTGCCTTTGTTGTTCCTGCGCCCCAGGCCTTACCTCCTGTTGCATGCTGTTGAATAGGGAGGCATAGTCACGTTCTTTGCCCATTAGCTGTGCATGCGTGCCGTGCTCAGCAATCTGGCCATCCTTCATCAGAATGACATCGTCACAATCGGGCAGGTACTGAAAGGAAAATAAGTTTTAAGGAGAGGAAAAAATGTGGTGTTATCTAAATGTGTATTTCCAGATGTTCCAGTTCCAATGTTCCAGAAAAAGGATAAACGTGAGAAATTTCAATTTTTCGATTAGTTGTCCTCACCTGCAGCTGGTGTGTTACAAAAAGCACCGTCTTGCCTCTAGCGGCCCCCCGAATGGCTTTATTGAAGATATGTGAACCCACACAAGCGTCAACAGCGCTGAGAGGGTCATCGAGGAGAAGTATGGGTCGATCGCTGTAGAGGGCACGTGCCAGGCTCACTCTCTGGCGTTGCCCTCCACTCAGGTTGGCACCCCTCTCACCGATCTAGAAAAACACAATAGAAATAAGTGCTTTATAATATTTGAGAAATTGCAGTCAGCAGTGGTGATGTTTTGTTGTGAATGCAATGAACAAACCTCTGTCATGTCTCCATAAGGAAGCTCAGCAAGATCATGGAGGAGGCAGGATGCTTCCAGCACAGTGTTGTATCTGATGTGGAAACAAAGTGCAAATTTAATTCAATTCAATAATACTTCCTTTTTCTCCAGAGAGAAATGATATTGTTGCAGTACAAATGACCATAAAAGACATGCCATTGTACATAAATATAGATGGAAAACAAAATGAATAAAATAAAAATCAGCATACAAACATTTAAAAGTTGAAGTGTAGCAGAGAGGTGCAGCTGAATTATTCAACGATCCCCATGAATAGACTGTGTTGTTTTTTTGTAGCTTGGCAACAACTGAGCGGATGAGTACACACTCAGATTTGGCAGCTAAAACTGATTAAACAACATGGACAGGAACTCATGGCCAACAAATCAATAAATGTGGTCAAAAGATGCTCCCTCTTAGAGGCATTTCCAGGATTTACCATCTGCCGTTAACAAGCACTGTCTGCCCTCATTTTCTTAAAGCTAAGCAAAAAGATGCTCCTGCTGGTTCCTCTTTTTTTGTCGCCATGGCTTAGTGACAAGAACAGCATTCCTGATATTTCCACCTCATCTACTTTATCTGTGAGTGATCTCACATTTCCCATAGTGATCAAGAGAACAAATTGCCTTAAGTTTTGTTCCAGTTCTGCATCCTTAACACCCCCTTTAAAACAGATCTTAATTTAGTATATTAATTTACGTGTTATTTGGACTTCATTCAACTGTTCCCACTCATAACCTCCCCTGAGGCCAGGGTTATACATTTAACATACATATACACAACGTTTTGTAGAATCAGCTCCACAGCATCCAAATCAATATCAGAAAACCCTAACCCTAACCCTACATGATAAATGATTCTTTCACAGAAAAAAATCATTAGCAAAATATCAAATAGATACAAAGAAATACACAATTTGTGCACAGTTGCTGCTGACAAACTCTAAAAAAAAAAAGTTTGAAACTCTCTCTGGAGTAACAGCTCTCTTTTACTCGTCAATACCAATAAACATCCAAATAGAAGCTTTTTTTGTAGCATCATGACACAACTAAATTCTTACTTGTCTGAGTCATATTCATTGCCAAACAGGATGTTCTCCTTGAGTGAGTCATTGAGAATCCAGGCTTGTTGGGACACATAAGCAAAGCCTCCACTGGCAGCCACTTTACCCTCTAAAAGCGTCATCTGCAAGACAAAAACAGAAGGTTGGAAGCAGAGAGGACACTTGAAACAGTTGTTCTCGACTCACGTATCCTTGCTGATAGTCGTGCTTGTTCTACTGAGGCAGGAACTGAATCTGACCTGTCCAAGGAGAGCAGACAGAAGAGAGCTCTTTCCACTCCCGACACCTCCACAGATTCCAACCAGAGAGCCCTTGGAAAATAAATCACATGAAGCACGTGAATTATTCAACTCCTCAAGCCCCATATTATTAACCATGTTAATGTTTTTGCTATTACAATCTTGATTCGTAGATCAATGCGGTGCAGGGTCTTGTGCAGCGGGGGTCGTATGCTTTGGGTGGAGGAGATGGTGCTTTGCGGACTCTCCTGTTCCATATTAGTTATAAGACTTTGTTCATTGGGGCTGTCTTTGTTTTCCTTGCTGTCGTCTGTGGAAATGTACAGGCTAAGCTTCTCCCTGCGTAGCACACTCTTCATCCCGCCGCGCTTATGCTGAGGTTTTGGCTTCGGAGCTGGTGAACGGGCCTTCTCCCAGGCTAGTGTGGCCTCTTGAAATTCTACTGCATTCTCAGGATCCTCCATTTTGACTAAAACAGTCTCTCGTTCATCCATCATGAACAGCCTCTGTGGAATTATACGAGATGGGTTAGCTGAAACAAAATCTTAATCGGAGCATTTCTTTGGTTTTATCTTTAAATATGAAATGATGTACAAGCAAATGGTGTTTCACACCCGGTTTAACACACTCAGGTTATGTAATAATGAACTGGCAGAGCAGTAACGACTGCATCACAGAGCTTAATGCCTTAAGTAGAGTCCGGCCTGTCCTTAAGCTTGTTGGTACTTTAGCACGAAGTGCATTTAAATCATAGAGGATCTGGAGCTTTTTGGTGCATCCTTGGCCGTAAGGCTTGCTTACTTACTTAACCCCTCTTTCACTAACATGTGACTTTCACCCTGTGTTGTGAAACAGTATATCAAAAATGTCAGTAAGTGTGTGGGTGGAGGGGTCTTTAGCAACAGGGTGGAACCTGCCTGGTGGTCTATTTTAATCTGTCGACCTCTGAAATGTGTAAACACATTTTGACAAGTGACATGGAGTATATAAGGAGAGAAAAACATTTATGATTTATCACATGTACTGTATAGTTCAACAGGAGGTCAAGATGCATCGCACAGGTGTCAGCACTTTAAAGTATTTTTCTCTTTCTTTTGTACATGATTTTTTAAACATTACTTTTCTGCAATAGATAGTTTTTTAGGCCTTTGTTCTCAACTTATCCAGTTTCTAGCACAACCTGGACACCATGCTAATATGTAGAACATTCCCTCCTAAAAGATCTTTGAGAAACAATCAGTTCTGCACATAAATTCCATTTTATTTCTATTAATATTAGACAAGATATTACTTTATTAGTCCTGCCGTGGGAATTTTGATGGTTGTTAACTTTGGCATGTCACATGGATGCAACAGGCAACATAAGAACAAATATAGATTATTTTGTGAAAAAACTATCTGAAAACAACATATAACATGGATTCTTTACTAAGTGAGTCTTATAAATAGGCCCAAGGCTCATTGTTTGAATGTGTAGCCTTTTTTTTTATTTCTCAGTGAATCATAGGTTAGTGTGTCAAAAATTATTTTGCTGAAAAGATCTGCTTTCCCAAACCTTAAAAAAGTCTCCAGAGCTACGAATCATAAACTTTTAAAAGATTATACCGAGTCTGGCTGTGTGGTAAAAACTAAACATGTATGCATATCCAAATATATTACCTGAAACCTTTTAACTGCAACAGCACCCTCTGATAGTGATCTCACAGCCAGCGGTGTGACTTTCAGGGCAAAAGTCATGGAGTTGAAAACAGCAACCACAGTAAAAGCCTGGTGTTGGATGTATAGAGACAGAGGAAGTTATTGGCAACATTTTTTATCCAGTATCTGAATTTTAAAACCAAACAGATGTGTCACTTGAACCACAATAAGTAAAAAATGTAGAAATATGAATTGATTTTTAATGTGGGATAATTTTTGGATGTTTTTTCATACAGTCAGTGCATTCCTACATGTATTCGAATCACATTTAAAAATGAGATATTTTAAAAAAAGCCATTTTAAAGGTTGATTGTGGGGTACACATATGAGTACCTGAGCTGCAGTCAGGTCGTAGCCCAGGGCCATGTGTAAGGTGAAGGTGCACACGCTTGCTATCACCACGACAATGGGAGCCACACCCACTGTGAGACTCTGGATGACTCCAGCTCTCTCCAGTATGCTCCTCTCCTCTGATCGCACCTCTGGAAAGGACACATGAAAAGGAGACATGACCAAAAGAGAAGAAAAAACTAAAAGTAGAGGATGAGTGACTCCCAAAGGGTTTTGCAATGAACATTCAATCAGCAGCAATACCAGAGCCACTAGCCAACACAGTGTGCATACAAATGTAAGAGCGAGGACAAGAGAAAGAGGCTTGAAAACCTGGTTAGCATTGATAACTCTCAAAGCTAATGCCAAATATACTGACCCCTTCGCCCATGTTTGCATCACCCACATGCACAGCCTGCCTACTTTGTTCAACCAGCGCACTGATCTATCTAAGGTCTAAAAAGCATGGTATGTGAAATATCACAACTTTCTCTCTCTGGTTCATCTTATTTCCCATCTGGATTACATTTAGGTGGTATGTGTGCTTCTATTTTAAGTACAAAAAGATGAGTCATACATCTTTGGCAAAAACACTGATCATTCACATAAAAGGCTAATAATTAATGGGAACAATTCTGTAACCCTTAAGGATCATTGGCCACGAAAGCGAATACCAATTAATTATCCCTGTAATAGTTTCTCGCATAACAGCAGTAAAACTAAGCCCCATCAGGTTTATCTGGAGAATGATGAAAAGGGGGGCAAAAATTGCTTATCCACAACCTACAGCAAGGACCACACAAGAAAAGGCCACGGCTAAGCTACAGATGAGAACAAAAGCCTTGGCAGGCAATCAAGAGATCATAAGGCTTCCAACACATTAACCTTGAAGACAGTGGATTTCAGGGTGGGGGTTATCCTGCCCATTTGGCAAATTGTAGGTGATTAATTGATCACTTTGCAAGTGACAGACGTTAAAATAAAGGGACACATTATTCTCAGTGAGACCAGAAATAAAAACTCACAAAGTTTGATTGTACAAACCGTCTGAAGAAACAGCAGCTCTTAACCACAAACAGGAAAAGACCAAACAAGATGAGTCATTAGGGAACATGACAGTCACTCACTGTGAATGTTCTGTGCAAAGGCATCTTCCCAACAATACATTTTGATGAACTTTATGCAGCCTAAGATCTCGTTCATCAGCCTCACGCGCTGGTCAGTGACCACTATGCACTTCTTGCGGAAGTACGCCGTCAGCTTCGATGCAAGCATCTGTCCAGACAGAAACGGGGGAAATGATGACAAGAAAAAATAAGTGGCACGGGAGGAAACGAAAGCAGACACAATCACATTATCTGTGCTGCAGGCCTGTCCTGAGGACCAGAGTGATAAACGCCTTTCACATGAATACCAGGCCATGCCTGAGGCTGAGTGTAATTTGAAAACAACAGCAGCAAAGTTGACAGGAGATTGATAGCCACATAGTTATGGTGCACTCAAAAAATGCCAGTGATGCTGGTGGGCTTCTTTAATAGCCTGAATTAAATAGATAATGAGTTAAATCTCCTACTAACCAAATTACATGAAGTTGGAGCACATAAAATAATGAGTCAACACAAACATTTGTTGACTCATTTCGTTAAAACTTTTAGAGTGACTGTGATTAAGTGGCTTCTTAATGCTGGAGTGAAAAAGGTCACCAATTGGTGAGTATTAAAAAAAAGTTAGTCATTGAAATACAATTAGCCGTTCAGAGTACTTTACAGGCACTGAGAATGAAATGTGGCCATGTTTTGGATGTTTGAGCAGAGTCTGTACCATTGCGGGATAGAAGAAGATGAAAATGGCTGATCCCAGCAGAGCTGTGGGGCCCAGGAAGAAGACCGTGTAAGCCAGCCCCAGTATTCCCACCAGGGGCCCTCCTGCCAGCAGGCAGCCCACTGATACTGCTTCATATATCCGCTGGCCATCACTGGAGCAGATGTTGATCAACTGGGTATCAAGCAAATTGTAACACAAACTGAATTAAAAACATTTTATGAGCTAACCAAACTCATACAAAACAGACAAAGACTATATGAAAAATGTTGCAATCACAGTTGTCTTTTATTCCCCACTTTACTAGTTAGACAGTGGATCTTTTAAAGCTGCATCAGGACTAATCTTACAGGGCTTTTGTTCCTTCAGGCAGATGTACAGAGATCTGAGCATGGAATCATACATGTTTGGTATTCAGAGGTGCTGGACTATGTTGTTAATTTGGAGGTGCGTCCCCTGAGCCACCTACCTCGCCTGGACTGATGTCTTTAGTGTTGCGCAGACGGAGGATTTTCTGGAAAGCAAACGTCAGAGCTGCCCCGCGTAGACGAGCAGCAGTGCGGTAGTTGACAGCCCACATGAGCGCCAGAGACCAGGAGCGCAACAGTTCCATGAGGAAGATCCCGGCTACCAGGGACAGGCCGTACAGTACATAGATCTGTGAGCTGTGGGAGTACTCCAGCAGAGCTCGGACGAGGAGAGCCTAGGGACCCAAAGAAGGAGCGAGACAAAACGGCAAGTGAAAATAGGGATACAAATTAGCAGAGAAAGAGCAAAGATAAGGACAGCAGGCAGAAAACACGTTTCCAATGTAGGAAATGTGAGAAAAATCATATCCACTCCTTGTTTGAATAAGTTTAGATTAAATGTATTCATCTGCGGAAAGAATTCCCACAACAATGCTTTGTCAGCATGGACATTAATGAATCCGCTTGTAAGTAGGAAAAAAATGTCATGGTGCAAGAACTAAATCCAGTTAATGCTCTTAGATGTAGAAAGTAGTAATCACATAAGGCTAGGTACCAACACATCTAAATAAACTTCTTGCAGCAGAAGGAACGATGTAACCAGCTCAGAAATGAACAGAAAGTAGTGCTTTTGTTTCTTGAGCTCTTCACATCCAGGATGATCATCTTTAATTTCCAATAAGGTTTTGAAATATACACATTTATAATCTGTATTATGCTTTAAAAGGCATTTTAATGCCATAAGTGATCCAGATAAGAAGCACAGCATCACTGCACCAAATAAGACAGCTGTTACGAAGATTAATTTTACAGTTTAAAGTTGTGCAATCCATCTCTTAAATCCTGAGACAGCATTTAGTGATTTTCAGAAAATATTCACACGAGTTTTCTGAAAAGCATATTAGCTGAAAAGTAGCAACAGAAACAAAAGGAGGACTTAGAAAGTACTCACAGGCCCAACAAAACCCGCCACCATTGTGAGGAGGAGGGAGAAGATGGCCACCAGCATTCGGGTCTGGCAGAACCTCCAGAAGACTCTTGTGAGGGATGCCCCCTCTCGCCCACGTCTTTTGAGCTCGTCGTGCCACAGAAATTTGAGCCTGGAACCAAAAACCAAGAACAAAGGACATTGACTGTGACTGAGCTTAATTTATGACAATCTACTCACTTTCTTTAAATTATTAAACAACATAAAAGCATGATGTGGTGTATAATTGGTTTGACAAAAAGTAATTCCAGTGACAAAATATAAGAACAAAATTAAAGCTGGCAGAGTGATAATAATGCAAAGGTGACCTCTGATATATTATCATGAATGATGCATCACATAGTTATGCTTAGAGAGGTATTAACATGTTGAAAGATCTGTTAATATACTCCTACTACTGGATAATACCTCGTGAAGTGTGCAAATATCTTGTTGGCCAAATCCTCCTCGGCTAATGACTCCATAAACCAGCTGCAGAGCAGCTGCAGAAACTAATTTATACTCAAACGACTTTATTAAAAACCTATCAACGATACTCCCAATGCCTGAGAATTACAACTTGAAGTCAAGTAACTCTGAATGTAAGAAATTATAATCAAACAGCAGGTTAACATTGTTTAGATACCAATTGAATTGCTGACAATGTAAGGAATATTAGGACCAAAGTCAGGAAATATCTGTAAATCCATACAATTTTACGAATTAACAATAAGAAATGTTAAAAAATATTGTCTATTAATTTGACTCTTATCAATAATACTGAAGCTTTGATAGCCTAATTGGAATAAGTGGGTATAGAAAACTGATGGATGGACAATATAATATCAAAACAAAGTAGGTATGTTATGTTAAGAAGGTAAAAATAAATGAATGCACCTCCTTGTACACTCTTTTCCCAACACTCATGGTACTATGCTTATGTGCTCGGAGAGAATATATTTCTTTAATCTTAATGTCTGTAAAGACAATTTTTTTTTATGCAGGTGGGGAACTTTGTACATATTTTCTTCACTAATGCTGGTGCTGTTTTTTCTGAGGAGTTTGACTCAAATCTGAAATCCATACAAAGTTTGCTATTTAGATCAAACTATCAAAATTCTCCACAATTTTTCCTGATTAAAAAAAACACTCCACTCATGATGAAAGTTGGACTTAATTTCTTTCGCTGTCCTTAATGATACCTTAACACACCCTGCAGAATGAAAGCAGCGCATTTAATGGAATTAAGTCCCATTAAATAACCATAGAAACGTAAAAGAGGTACAGAAGAAACATTCAGTGAAATAACTTGTGCCTGGAAATGAAACACAATGAAATAACAATGATACTTTACATGATTTTCTTGCTTTCATCATCAAAGTAAAATGAATTCCTACTATTCAAAAAGTAATGGAGTGATGCAACTCTGGATCTTAAGTGTATGCATATAAATTAATCAATGGAAATGAAAACACCAGGGCAATGGTATGGACTTCTAAGGAAGAATTATTTGCTTTTAAACAGGACTGAAATCTTTCTTACAGCCAGATGGCAAGTGAAGCTGATGTTTCAAGAGTGTGTTGGCTGGGACATTGCGTTCAAGGTTCGCACCTCACTGAGCACCAACAAGTGTCAACTCTCCCAGGGAGCTTTTCCAGTTCCCCCTAACACCACCATCTTTGCTTTGCATTGCGGTTACATAACAGTTCTTGCTATGTAAACGCAAGATACCCCCCCCGACCCCCCCCCCGTTACCATCGTGATAGCTCTGTGTTGCTTTCTGTCTATGTGCTCTTAAAGACACAGAAAGCAGTAGCAATAAACCTACAAGTTCTGTGATTTCTCTGCAGCAGAAGTTACTGTAAGACACCCCCCCCTCCCGCTCTTCAAGCACATGTTTGAACTTCCTGAAACATCATAACTGCCCAGTCATGGCACGCAGGGGAGACAGTTCATGAGAAACAGACAAACCACTGATCTTCTTTTCAATGAGAAGCAGCACCCAGCAGGCCTGTAATAAGCTTATTTCAAGTCCTGATAGATCATTCAGAGAATTACTGCGTTACCGTTGGTCAAGCTGCGGTTTGGCAGTCAAACAGAGATGTTTATCTCAGTCAGTGACAGCTATTTACCGTCACGGGCGGGACACTGTGCTGCAGGTAGAGTAGTGACATAAGCAACCAAATCAGGCACCAACTCTCACTGTAATCTCTAATCCCTGCTATTCTTAGCACCCCTGTCCCGACACAATGTTCCTGTATTAGCAAAGAGAAACAGGCTGTTCATCAGTTATGTCTCACAAAAGTGAAAACAGACCAACAAACAGCAAACAAACATAAAAAATCTAGAGTTTTGAATGATATCCCTGCTACCGTAAATTACTCAGTGAGCCACGCAGACCTAATTTTCAAAAAGAAAAACATCAAAGATGACACACTTCTGGAAAATGTTAAAATACTTCATAGTTCAAAATGGAAAGAAAACAGAAAAAGGCTTGAAGTAAACAGTTGGATACAAAGCGTTCCAAATACTTAGTAACACACTTATAAGGCACTGACTTTTTCCAGTCAGCAAGAGCCTTTCACTTCTTCTTTAGGGTATGTTTGCCTTCTCTGCATGCAAATTTACTCTAGTTCATTGAGATGCCTGCACACACTGCTCTTTCGAGGACTACGCATGGATTTTTGATGATGTTTAGGTGACTGAAGGCCATTGTTAAATCTAACTTGAACCTCTTGGGGTAGTCCACTGTAGACTGAGAAGTAATTCTAATTTAATCTCCTGTTCAAAATCTGTACCATGTAAAGTATGAGTTTTGCTTTCAGAGTTAGTTTGCACACATTTATTGGACTTCCATCCATCCATTTTCTCAACCGCTTCCCAAATGTGGCTGCTGGGGGACCAGAGCCTATCCCAGTATTCAATAGGCGAGAGGCAGGGTACACTGGTCATTTATCGGACTTGTTTCTCTCAATTAATTCATATTCTCAAAAAGGTGTTTTTTCATTCACTTATGCAGCATTTTTTTCGAAAAAATAATTGCCTTTTGTATTTAATTAATATGTTCCTCTAGCTTCTTCTTTTTAGCTCCACTCATACAATTGCCCTGTGTGTGCCCATCCTAAGAATACAGGATACAACGGCAGAAATATCCTTTTTCCTGAACACTGACACTGTTCTGACACTGACGTGACAGACATCACATACACAACACACAACGGCTTTTTGATTACATCAAATAAATTACATCATTTCAGCTTCAGAGTACTGGAACCTGGTGGAAAATGTCTGTCAGCAACAGACTGAGTTTTTGTAATGCCACAGGTTTTTTTTATGAGGCAAACCTTAGCAGAGCGTGGTTATCTCACCTTTGACAGTTAACTGTGGACGCCTCGTGGCAAGACAGTCCCCACACGTCATCTATAGACAGGCTGGATGTCCTGTAGGCCTTCAGTGCCATTGGAGTGAGCCAGTGCAGCGTCATAAACGAGAAGAGGCCAGCGTTATCGACGGGGTGCTGATGCCTAGAATAGAGTGGAAGAGGTGGAAATGGGTGAGATGTCTAAAAGTGCAGAGCCCACACAAAGGCGCACTGTTGGCAGAGCAGGCCCATGCAGATTGCTGAGAAATAAGCGGCGCCTTTGCTCGCCAGTCAACGACAGGTGAATCATGCCTGCAGTGTTTGGACAGTCATTTACACGCTCCTCATAGAAATCTAAGAGAGCAGTGAAAAAAAAAGGTCAGGGGGTAATTTATCAGGCGGCATATGTTCAAACATAGCGGTGTGTGTCTCTGAGGGATAAGGACGTTTAAGTTCCCATCCCTTATCAAGGCCTCCTGCTACACCCTAACAGTCAGGGCCTTAAATAGGCAGCCGACGGCAAACATAGAAGGAACTGACATAAACCGTGTGCCGTCATATCTCCACCCAACTGGACAATATCGAATTCAATATAATTTTGTTTACTTGTGTGTGATCCTGAAGGGCTTTAAAAGCTGCAGGCTTTTATGGTAGCGGCCTCGTCTCTTAGGCCCCCTCTCCACAGATGTGTCGGCCTCCTCTTCCTCCAGCTCTGGCATGGGCTGTGGGGAGGACAGGGACAGGCCCTCCACCCGCCCAGCTGCTTCCAGGGCATCTGGGAACATGGCAGGTCCGCTAAAGAGGAAAGAAAAATAATGAACGAATGTATTCATAAAAAAAAACTAACACATTTCTGAGCTGTCACCAAAGCCGGTTCAGCCGGTGTAAGGCAGTGTTTTTCAACCTTTTTTGAGCCAAGGTACAGTTTTTCATTGAAAAAATCTCAAGGCACACCACCAACCAAAAATTTTAAACAAATCTGTAGCCGCCTATAGTAACACTATAGTTATTCTTATTTTATTCTTATCTTACCTTAAGTGTCATGAATAGGAATCAAATAAACACAAAAATGTATTTTCATCTTATTTTATATTTCTTCTTTCAAATTGCACTTAACATGTCCACTTCAATATGCAAAATTATATACAAAATCTAGTCATAAGGAATTATTACATGATTACGCCACCAGTCACTAGAACAGCACAGACACTCAAAAATGGCATAGTATTTGCAGAAAATTCATTCCTTATCGAAAATGTTTTTTAGACCAATTAGATGAAATAGGATGATTTTCTACGGCACACCTGACCATCACTCGCGGCACACTAGTGTACCGAGGCACAGTGGTTGAAAAACACTGGTGTAAGGGACATGGTGAAGACTGTTAAACTGTCAAATTTAAGGAAACAGTTATTTTATTGATCCGTTTACACTCAGTCATGTAAACAGTCTAAAGTTCAATTTTTACCATTCTGGTCTTCCACTTCCTTGAATGTGATAATACCTCTCTGTAAGAGCAGCACATTTCACATCCGAGGTGCTGAATCCCGCTAAAGTATCTTTTTCTATTACCATGATCAAACTTCACAAGGTAGCTAACACCCCTGGAACGGTCACTGATACATGGGCTTCAAGTTATTTTCATTGGATTTTTTTGTTCACAAAAAGTACTCCCAGCATGACATTAACAACCAAACCTCAAGTGAAATAGATTAAATGCAGCAATCTACCTGTTCTGCCTCCCTTTCAACCACAGAGCTTATGCAGAGGAACGGTGTTTTGCTGAATCACCCTCTGAGACGCAGATAGGTTTGAGAAATCACCTTGCTCACAGGTCGTGACATCTCTCTGGCATACAGTGCTTATCTATTTAAAGACGATCTGCCAGCCACCCTGGAAGCTCTGGAACAGACATATGAGCTGCCACTGCATCCGAACGCTGTCACTGATCCTTCTGCAGCAAAGCTTCATGACAAGGTCAGCCTTGGTTGGTGTGGGGCGCAGATATTTGTCCAGGGAATGCAGTCAATGATGAGACTGGACATAGTTAGCCCAGTACGGGGAAAAACAGAAACTGATACCATAGGTTCTGTTGGGAAATATACCGCAACGCATAGTTGCTGCTGTTGTGATGGGAACCAAACTTTGCAGCTGACTAGAAGTAATAATAAAGAGAAAAGGCAGGTTTTTGTGTAGGCTTCTCCATCTGTTGCCCACAGTGCTCATATATTGTGAACTTTGTCATATTGCTGTGAACTTCCTGGGCTCACTTTCACAAAAAATGCTGTTGCCTACAGTCAAACATTCTGCAGCCATACATTCTAAGATTCTCTCACAAAAAGCAACACAAATCTCATTTAAATGCCTACATTTGTTGGAAACTTGACCTAAAACTCAAGTTTGGACTGTGTCAACAAAACGTCACAAACTTAGTGCTCACACAAAAGCAAGGTTACATTCCAGCTGATAAAAGGGACCACAGTAAGAAACTAAAATAGAAATTACAGCAAAGCTAGTTAATAAGAACTGTTAAGATACACAATAATATGACATATTACCAAGAATTATATGAACAAATACATCAGAAACACACTTTGCTTTGTTTCTAGCTGTTATCAGTGTGTGAAAAGATGAAGTTCCTGAAAATACAACTTGAGCACTACATATACATTTGTTTCACCAGTTTCTGTTTTACTAGTTAAAGTCTCCAGTAAATTACTCTGTAGTTATTATGAATACTGTTTGATGTCAACCAGATCGAATCAAATAGCCTTATAATCTCCTGTCCTCCTTTGCTATCACCTGTAATAAAGTGACTGAATAATGTCAGCTTTTTCATCAGTTCCACACTTACATTTAAGTCAGCCTGTTTCGGGACACCTTGGTAGAAGTTCAGTTCTCAGATGTGTTCATAATAAAAGACCACAGACGATGGTGACCATGGTGATTGCTCTCTGTCTTGTCATTAAGCTAGAACTTCGTTTACACAAAGGCACATCCTCTTCAGGAGCTGAAGAAAACTCAGCGGGGAAACAACGCAAAGTTTACGCCTCGCGTGTATACTGTGCGTGCTTCCTCCTCCCGGCAGCGTCCACGAGTCGGCTGCACTGTCACATAACAGCTTCACGTGAAACCCTATAGGGAGAGGAATTCCCGATATCTCTCTGATGTCATCGCTGCTCCGCCAACCACTGACGTTGCTGACAGTCGCCGTGGTAACGACAATAATAACCAGGAAGTGTTTGATCCACTAGAGCTCCGCGGTCGACCAAAAGGGCGGGGCCAGAAACATGGGAGGCAATCTGATTGGTCTCTGAGATGGCCAACACGATAAGTAACTGGTCTGTCATGTTTGTGCTAACGTACAGGATGAGTGTAATTATGACCGAACGAAAACGTTGCAGCTTAAGCTCGACCGCACGCAGTCTTTTGGTTAAAGGTCAAATATTTTCTTAAAGAAATTCATTAACATAACAAAAACAATATTATTTTTTAATATGAACGAATACAAGCTGATAACTATTTGATAAGCTTTAAGAGCTAAGACAAAAACATTAGTCAAATCTCAAAAGCACAGATGCACAATTTAGAGTACAAAAAGGCTACATCTGAACATCTGGGAGATACAGAAGTGCTTTTAATGCTCTAGCAACCTGAAGTGGTTAAATTGTGTCAATTAAAATCTGTTAGAGATTAGAATCGACTTCAAGCAAAACTTGTTTTGCCAATAACTGCTTCACTGAGAGGTGCTGATGCAACATCTGGAGTGGCAGATTTATCAGTCACAGCCATGCACAGCAGTGTAGATGCACCCAAACAACAATATATCTCAGTCCTGATGAAATGAATGGATAACACCTTGTTTTTCAAGTTAATCACCATCCTGTTAATGAAGCAGGTGTATTCAAACAGGGAAACATCGGAACCAGGGATGGAAAACTGCAATCTGCAAATGACAGATAATCTGACTAGTCTGTGGACTTGCTTTTCCTCACAGGGCATGTTGCAGTTGGACTCTGTTCCAGGGCTTCTCATAGCCTGTAGCTTTTTGTCTCATGTTAGGGCTGTGGAACTGGTAGATCCTGCTTTTCACGTGAGTTTGCTCAAGTAGAAAGCTACATTTGCTCTTTGTCTTCTGTTACAACTTCTGAACAGCCTGTACTGTTTGCATAAATAAGGATTAGGAGCTGAAAGAGGGGAGATGGTGCAGCTGGATTTTTGGCTGGTTTTCCTTTAACACTGGTTTCTGAGTCTGTTTTTTATTAAAAAAATAATAATTTTAGATTTCCGATGTATTTTCTTCATTGGGTTTTTTTTTTGTAATTAAGATACAACACTTGAATATATATGAGGCCTAACCCACCATGATTTAGTATTCATACTGAGTAAGTTCAATTATTTAAAAGTTATTATATTTATGATAATTTCTTTAAACTTAATTTAAAGATCACATAACTAAAGATTCTGTTACTTTTGATCTCAAAACTCAAAATGTAATAAGGCTGCTCTGTTCATACAATTTACTTGCACACACGTCACTGTCAAGTCACTCAACATGGTGCTCTGGCATTTGAAGAATACAATGTGAATACAATGTGTTACCACAATCACAGCTGAAATTTAGTAAGAAGGCAGAGAAATTTGATCTGAAGAACTTGGTGAGATGTCGTTTACAAAGACATTTATGGATTTGCTTCAATTAAAACAAAGAGATATTGCAGAAGGCGATGTGTGCAGATACACCCAACACAACAAATGTGGAGGAGGAGCATCAATATGAAAAAGGCAAACAACATGAGAATGCATTTACCTTTGTTGCAGCCCTTTTTTCAGAGTGGCTTTATCCTTCTGAAGTCACAGCTCTTTATGTTTTTAGAAGAAAAGATGTATTAAAACTTGTATACTGTATAGCTGAACAACTATTGAAACAATTTGAACAGTTTTTAGCTTCTATTTTCTCATCTTTTTCCCCCTAGTCCTGCTAGACGTGATAGAGTGCTATTGTCATTGCTGCCAGTTCTCTCTGAAAGGCTTGCAGAAAAAAAAAGAGGCAATACACGAAACGGTGAAGAAAATCATAGAAGGGGTCTCACTTTACTGATCTGGGAAATTTGCTGAACTTCTGCAATCAATGCGCTGAATGTGGACTTAGCTATCAACCCCCTGAGACATTTAAGATAACGGCTAAGCCACAAATGGGTGTGCAACAGAGTCCAATCACATCATTTCTGCTTTTCTACCAGTATGGTATGATTTAGGACGGGCAGTGCAGCAGCTAATGCTGACAGCGTGTTCCAGGAAAGCACCACCAATCGTCATTTTCAAAAAAAGACTTGGAGAGAAGAACTTCTTGAACTAAACCGATTAGAGTTGTTGCTAGATTTAGATGCACCATGTTTTCAGCTTTGGCCTGCAATTTCCATTGTTAAATTGTTTGAAAATATGATCCTGCAAGCATTAAATTTCAGAATTCGTTGGGATTATTAAAACGCCTTTTTAGTTCCTGACTGTATATTTTAGCCATTAATCAGAAGGGGCTCAATTATAATATGAATATGTATATATTAAAATATGAGGGAAAAAAAGGTTTCTTCCTGTATTAAATAATGGCGACCCTCTTCTTATGAAGGCCTCAGGAAAATGTCTGCAGTCTGTCTCTGGACTCCACGGACCATGGTGCCCTGAGATTTGATACATGTTACAAAGCGCTCACTAACCACCCAGTTGAGTGGCCTTCATTGGCTGCACACTGTCTTTCACAACGGCATACATAAGACCATTTTAGGCCTCCTCCTACAAAAATGATGTGGAAGAACCCAGAGTACTTCCTCCGTCCGCTCTGATTTTTCACCCGCTGCTTGGAAGTCACTACAGAACATTGGTTCTGCTTTTTTTCGTTAAAGCCTCACTGTTCAACTTATGGCTCGGACTTGACTGTATTTGTCTTGTTTTTTTGTTGCTGTTGATTTGTATTGAATGTGACCTCTTATATTGTTTATTTTAAAACTTGAAACTTAATGTGTTTAGGCTGCTGTTTTCAGGCCAGCCTTGAAGAAGAGTTTATGAATGACCTGGTTAATTAAAGGCTAATATATATGTGTGTGGGTGTAATTATGGCTTGCATTACACTACTGAATGTCTAATGGTCTAATTAACTATTCGGAAGATGATTTGAAATAACTTTCAGCTAATAATATTAGCATAAATTCTATTTAATTACTTCCTGGTCAACACAATGCACTAAGGCTACGATGTTTCAGTTTAATCTTAAACCAGGCCAACTCATTATACAGAAATATAAACATAAATAGACTGAATATTCATACATAAAACAACATGGTGCCCAAACAAACCGTCGCCTTCGTATTAATCATTTTTCATGTTTAGCGCCATAATTCAGCTTTACAATGCTAACACTTATAGGCGATCTTGGCAAATAAACTAATATTTTCAGTAAGTTCCAAGGAAGAGATCAACAGTTACCAAAATAATATTAACCTGATGATAAAAAAAACTAAGTTTGAACACTTTTGAACACCCTGATTCTCATGGAAAGACAAAAGACCTGCTAGCTTGGTGTCATCTCTAAGAACACCAAGCAAAAAAACATTCTGTAGAAGTTGGTATTTTAGGTCTGTCACAAATGCGAATTACTGTGAAAAAATAATAAAAACACAACTATTACACTGATTATCATAACGTCTTACTAAATATGTTCATACCTGCTGACCCAGCAGACCCCCGGCCTCGGGTAATTCCACGTCACAAAGATGAGACACTTTTTAAATGAGTTAGATCACCATGGTGATGGCGCGCATTAGGGCATTTTATGAGTCACTTCCTGCTTTATGAACGTTCAACTAACTTTATCGGTCTCTGACTGTGAAACTACACTGTTCCTGATATAAATTGTCTTTGGCTGAAACAAGTAAGTAGGTTGTTATTTTTTTTTTAATGAATTGTAATCATGATTACACTGTTCATGTTTTGTTTACTGACAAATACTTGTCCATGTTGCATTTTCTCAAATATAATTTGAAAAAACAAACAGAATTCTTTTTCCAAAGCTTTCATCCAGTTTTTGATCAGACATATTTCCAAAGATTTTCCTCTACAGATCTTAAATTAGCGAGCACATTTTCAGTGTGCTCAGACTTAGGGCAATACTGCCACAGCAGAGATCCAAGCATCCATGGTTTAAATTATTTGGTTGGTGGTATCCTTGGTATCCTATTTAAATCATATCAATGCTGGTATCACATCTAAACCATATAGGTGTTGGTATTTTTGGTATGATATTTAAATCATATCAATGTTGGTATCATTGGCATCATGTTTAAATTATATCAAAGTTGGTATCATGTTTAAATCATATTGATGTTGATATCATGTTTTAATCATATTGATGTTGATATCATGTTTAAATCATATTGATGTTGGTATCACTGGCATCACGTTTAAATCATATCGATGTTAGTATAATTGCCATCGTGTTTAAATCATATCAATGTTGGTATCATGTTTAAATCATACTGATGTTCGTATCATTGGTATTATGTTTAAATCATATCAGAGCTGATATCATATTTATTTGACTTTGTAGTTGGTATCATATTTAAATCATAGTGGTGCTGATATTATTGGTATTATCTTAAAACCATATTGGTGTTGGATGTTTTCTTGCATGACAAGATTGAAATTCTAGCTTAATTATTTCTCATATACAGGGTAGGAAGCAAAAGGGCGCCCCTGGAATTTTTTTTTGTAGAATGTAGAATGAGCTCCACTAAAAGGTTGCAACACCCTGCAGTGATTTGTTCAATTTATGCTGTGTGAAGGGGGAGAGGAAAATAGGGGGAAATGAAAACTCTATTTTTAAGACCACTTCGCCAATGGAAAACTGTCCCTCTGTTAATTCTTTAATCCATCACATTTGGGTCGTTGCCTTTGAGATGATGATCACAAAAATAAAGACAGTGCTCATTTACTTATAAAGCAATATTATACCATTGCTTAACATTATTAGGCAACAGTGTTAGCACAGACAACAACGCCCGCTGATTTACCCTGTATAACTTTGCATGGGATTTCTAGATTTACAGAATTGCACACTACTGCCCCCAGCTGATGGACAGATATGCCCTCATTGATCTTAAAGACCTGCCTAATGTGATTTAGTCTGCTGCTTTTACTAACTCCTAAATGCCTCTGATAGAATAAAAACCAAGAATTGTCTAGCTGGCTGCCAAATCCTTAAGGAGAGAAGAAACGTCTTCTTAGAGGCTTCATTTGCATTATTGGCACATTTCAGGCTAAATGAACTCTTTATAACTTCACGTACTAAAGTCTTTTTAAATAATAATTTAAACATCACTTGACATAGACATCAAGGACCCAAATTGTACACATAGGCTCTGATTAAAAACCAATTATTTCTGCCACTGATGTATGTGTTTTATGTACTTTTTCGTTTTTCCTATTTGTTCAGTGAATGTCAGGATATTTTACCCTTGGTCAGCGTTATGTTGTGTGTCGGTCAGCCTGGCTGTTGTTTTTAATGAGCTTTGTAGATAAAGAGGTATGGCGTGTGACTTTGACTGGCCAGAGACATACATACTGACCACTCAGAGCTGGCTACATGTATTTTGATGTTTACAATATTTGGGGATAGTTCATTCATACAGCCTTATATCCTGCCTTCTTCATCTAGCCTGAAGGGGGATTCCTCAAATACAACGCTATTGTCTTTTTAGTCACAGGATGAAAGTTGTTTAGATTTTGGTGTTCAAAGGTTAAGGTCGCTGACACGAAGATTATCCTTCTCACAAAAGGACTGGACTGACAGGACTGGAGATTAAGCAATGACATTTTCTGTCCTGACTGTCAAAGGTCAGGTCTGAATTTACAAGGATGTAAATGGCAACTGTTTTTTGGAGACGTGAAATCTCATGGTGGAAACATGTTTATCTCTCGGTCAGTGAGCAGAGAAAAGCATGGAGGCAGCAGCAAGCTCGGTTAGAAGGGAAAGATACACACTGAGATAGAAAAGTTCAAAATGTGCTTGATGGCATATATTTGAGAGACTGAAGCCACTACCAATGGAACATTTTGAAAACCACAGCATCAACACTTTGTTTTGAGATCTTGGAATTGAAAACTTTCCATTCCGTGAGTCATTCATTTCTGTCACCCTTGAGGAAGTCATCAGCGTCGGTATCTCTGTTTACGTGGATCCTTAAATCCAGCTGTGATCTCTACCCCTGAGAAGCAGAGTCTAAACATTTTTCTTCTTTCTTCAACGGCAAATACTTATCATCTGAAAAACCGTTTACATAAAAATGATTGTTTATTTTTATTATCCTAGTTCAGAATACCAACCTCTTAGTGGGATTTATGTCCCAGTTGGAAGTCGTTTTCCACTGAAATCACCATCTGTAGCACAACAGATTTGAATCTTAACAATAAAAAAACGTTGATGAAATGTTGTCTTTAAGACAAGGAAGGATCCTAAATACTTCAAGTTTTGCCGCAGGACTTTTTATTCAGTGCTTTCATGTATCCTCTGTTCTGCAGGCACCCAAAACCCTTTGTGGCCCTCTGAGGCAGAATGTAATCTAGCATTAGAGTGGCACAAAGCTTGACGGGGACAAACAGAGCCTAGAATATGTTTTAACAAAACAACATTTCTCTTTAAGAATATGCCTAGTAGATACAGAATGTAAATATTCAGTGATTAACTGTCTGACATCTTTCCACCATTCAGTGTTTAGATAAGAGCTCTCCAAATACAATATCTTTACGTAGAAAGAGATGTGTTAACTAAAGTGGGTGTAACACAGATCAGGTCGCATACGGATGTGTGGAATCTCTGTGCCTTCATAGTTTTGATTAATTTTTAAAGTAAACACATGCTAAACACCTGTGAGCTGTTGATATTTTGTATTCACAACCCTGTCTGTCTGTCTGTCTGTCTGTCTGTCTGTCTGTCTGTCTGTCTGTCT